TCCGAGCCCGCGTCCCCTAGGGAAGCTCACCGAGTGTCCGAGCCCGCGTCCCCTAGGGAAGCTCACCGAGTGTCCGAGCCCGCGTCCCCTAGGGATGCTCACCGAGTGTCCGAGCCCGCGTCCCCTAGGGAAGCTCACCGAGTGTCCGAGCCCGCGTCCCCTAGGGAAGCTCACCGAGTGTCCACAGCCTGCGTCCCCTAGGGAAGCTCACCGAGTGTCCGAGCCCGCGTCCCCTAGGGAAGCTCACCGAGTGTCCGAGCCCGCGTCCCCTAGGGAAGCTCACCGAGTGTCCGAGCCCGCGTCCCCTAGGGAAGCTCACCGAGTGTCCGAGCCCGCGTCCCCTAGGGATGCTCACCGAGTGTCCGAGCCCGCGTCCCCTAGGGAAGCTCACCGAGTGTCCACAGCCAGGCTCTCCCTCCAGGCTGTCCTGGGGCAGGGAGGTGGTGGCCAGAGGGGATGGGCAGTCCACCTGTGCTAGGGCAAAAGTGACAGCAGCTGGGCATCCCGAGTGCAGGTGAGGACACTGGCCTTGAGGACCTGGTTTGGCGTGGGGCACGGAGCCTGGAGGCCAGTCTTGGCAGAAGGTCACTCAGGCAAGGTCCCGAGTGCACGGCACCCAAAGGCTGGCACACAGGTCTGGCCATGGGTGGACTGGCACCATCACCAACGTGCAGGGTGGAAGGGATGTCCCTGTCGGGTGCCCACTGCTTGCCCACAGCTCCTGGAGCTGCAGGGGTGCATTTTGGGAGGTGTCTTAAAATTCTCTGTTGGGGCAGATGACTCCTTCCTGGTCTGGAGGCCCGAGCAGAGGGCTGTGCAGCCTTCAGTCGCCACAGCCACTGGGTGCTCTGGAGCCCCGAGGGTGAGCGCTGTGCCGAAGGAGCTCGGGTGGACTGCAGGAAATTAGAACTGGTCACACACGGGGCCTGGCCAGGTGGCTCAGCTGGTCAGTGTCGCCCCAACACACCGAGTTTGCAGGTTCACTGCCGGTCAGGGCACATACAAGAACTGGCCAATGAGTGCACAGATAAGTGGGACAACAAGCTGATGTTTCTCTCAAACAAAAACCCATGGAAACCGGGCACATGTCTGCAGCCCCTCCCACAGGAAAGGGAGTGTGTCCGCCCCGGCTCCCCTCCCCGGCCCTGCGAGCAGCCCCTAGCCCTGCGCACTGGGCGGTCCTTGCGGGCCCTTTGTTTGGGGGGGGCCCTGGCGGAGTCGCCTCCTGAAAAGCAGTCCCGTGAAAGGTGAGGACAACCTGGGGGTTCTCTGGAAGTGCTGCCACACCTCGGCACTTGACAATTAAATCTGTGCAGACCTTTAGGCTGCAAATTATTTTCTCAGTTGTCATTTCAAAGCATCGTTCCGAGTCTTCTAACTCGTGGCTCTGCTGTCGAGAAGTCCCCAGGGGTCCCAGGATCCGCTCGGCCTCTCAAATCTGTGTCAGCGCCTGGATGCCTCAATCGCTGAGCCTCAGTGTGGGTCCCTCATTACTGCGGAGGGTCTCGCTGGGAGCTTTCACGCGGGTGATCCTTAAAGGTATTTCTGGTAATTGCATCCCCACCATCCCCCACCCCAATAGCTTAGTCTCCATCCGTTTTATCATCCACCTCGTCTTTTTATTTTTAAAACATTTACTCAACTGTACTCTCAACCTCTTGCTAATTTATTTTTAATTTTGGCTATCATGTTTCACCTCTAAGATGTGTTACTTTCTTGTAAATTGTTCCTCTTAAAACACCCTTGTCTTTTTTAATGGATAGTTACTTCTTAATGTTGCTGAGTTAACGTCATTTCATTTGCCTTTCTACACGTCCTGCACTATTTCCTTTGTTTGTAAAAAACTTCTGTGGTTTGACTTCTCACTAGTGTATTAGAAGTGGTCCTCAAGCTCCTGCTGACGCCGGCTTTCCATCCACACGCGAAGGCGACAAGCTGTGCGTCCCGAGGTTGTGACTGCGGAGCAGCTGCTGGTCCGCCTCCTCTCCAGGAGGGACGGACCCTCTGAGCGCCCTCTCCTGGGCTCAGTGTGCACAGCTGTTCTCATCTCTGCCAGCACCCGGACGCCTGTCCTCCGCCTGTCCTCCGCCTGGGCGGCGGGCGGTGGTTACAGATCCCTCCTCCAGATTCTGACAGCTTAACTGGACTTTCGTCTAGTTCGGTTTACTGCGATTACGGGCATTCTGGGGTTTCCAGCATCTTACTCTGATTATTTACCCAAGTGTTTTTCTCCCCACGGATACCTTTTGTTCATTTTAAATTATTGCATTTTTCTTCCTACTGAATTGGAAATGTATAGTTTATATTTAGTAATGAACATTAAATTATACTGTGCATATTTAACTTTCTCAAGTCTGAAAGTAGCCCGGTGGTATGCTCAGTGGTTGAGCATTGACCCTGCACCAAGAGGTCAAGTGTCCAAATCCCTTCTCAGCATCAGGAAGATCTCAGAACATCTGAATCTCCTCTGGGCTCACATGCTCTTGTCCAGCCCGTGGGGACACTGTTCCAGCACAGCGTGAGGACATACGTTCACATGGACCATTTCATCTCCTCCCCTTCTTGTCCCGTGTGAGACCATCTCCGTCCAATTGGCACGAACCTAAGCCGTTTTCAGTGAAAGTCCTTTCAGGACAAAGTAGCTCAAGTTTTATTTATTTGTAATGTCAAACTTTGTCTTAATTTACCTATAAATGTCACACTTTGCCTTAGTCCCAGAGAAGTCACGTGGCTGGGTGCCCCCTTCGTGGCGACAGGTGCCCCCTTCTGGGTGACAGGTGTCTTCTCAGCACACCGAAGACTCGAGTCCGCCGTCCGTCTCTGCTTTGAGAAGCCTGCTGCTGGTGACGCGCTGTCCGTGTGGCCGGGCCGGCCATCCTGAGGTTCCATCCTGCTGGCTGGTCTGTGCTTCATGGTGTGGGTTTCCCTCATGCGGCTTCACGTGCACTGTACTTCCTGGGCCTGTGAATTTGCTATTAATCGGAGCAGAGCCTTGCTGGGACAATGGCTGTGAAGTGCCAAACCCCACTGAGAGTACGAGATGAGGCCACACAGATGCAGCCAGATGTGCGGAAGCTGCCTGACCCAAGTGGTCGGGCCCCATGCAGCAGCCTCAGCTGTGGACGTGTCTGCAAGCTGCCGGTTTGGGCTTCAACACTGAAGGTGACAATTCTGGCCTTGAGGACGTGTGGACCCTCCAGAACATCGAGTTTCACTATCGTGTCCTTTAAGCGCTTCTTTCGTTGGCCTGGTTATGGGGAGACTGAGCCAGGTTAAAACGAGGGGTGTAGACGCCCACCTTCCGCAGATGGGGCTGGCTGCCATTCCCTGCCCTCACCTCTCACCCCTGCAGAAGATCGGAGCCTGGGCCCTGCTGGAGAACAGGGCTGGGGTGTGGGAGCTGGCAGCCAGTCAAGTTTGAATGTGCATCCAGTCTACAGCCACAGCACCCTGAACGCGCCCGATCTCGTCTGAGTGTGCATCGGCATGGGGTTCGCTGCAGGCTTTCCTACCTTCCTCTCCGCGCACCGCGTCCCGGGACTCTGGTCAGGTCTCGGCCGACTTGTTCCCATGCCCTTGCCTGTGTGGTCTGGACCTCCTGGACGTATCCTACATGTTGCTTTCTCCGGCCGTGTTCAGTCTGCTGTAAACCTACTGCGTTGAGTTCTACTTCGAGAATTTATTTTCATTTCTGAAAATCCTTTAAAACCCTGCGTACTTGTGCTGACAGTCTCTGTTGCCTTCTCGTCGCTGTGACTGTCTTCTTCACACACCTCAGACGTAACTGTCTTCCTGTCTGCGTCCTCTGGCAGTGCAGTATCTGTGAGCGGGAGCGCTGCACGGCCCCAGTACAGGGAGCTCTCCTCCAAAGAGCAAGTGCCCTGCTGCTCCTGGTGCCGAGGAGGCACCATGAACCTGGCAGCCTGAGGGTCCCGGCTCAGCATGGAGGCCTCAGGCTGTCTCCCTCCTCACCAGGGCCAACGCTGAGGGCTACTATGCCCCTGCATGCAGGACAACCTGTGGGCTAAGACCCAAACAGAACCCTAGGACTGTGCAGCTGTTTGGGGGTCCCAGCAGCTTCAGGACCTAAAATAATTCAGTCATTAATTCAGCTGGAGTGGCCCCAAACCACATCCTGACCAGGACAGACTGGGACCATGTCACTGGACCCAGGACTCAGGGCCAGGCAACTGGTCAGATTTGTTTCAGTCATTAAGATAAACTTCAATAACACGACCTCACTCAGTAACGGACAAGTGTACAACCCGCACCAAACTATTTCCCAGCACAGATGCCTCTCCCTTCCTGTCTGGCAGACACACAGATGTCCGTCACCACCACTGGGATGTGCAGCCCAGACCGTGGCTTTCACGGAACTTTCCCTCGTCTCTCCAGCTGCGAACGGCGGAGCCTGTGAGCGGGTGTTTCCTGACTCCCAGCCCTGGTGCACGGCGGCTTGGCTTTGCACACGCTGTGCCCGCCTGTCTCCCAAAGATCCTGCTCAGGAACCACCTCCCAATCGCCCTCCCCAGCCCTCCTGCTACCTCTGTGCTCCCAGCTGCCGGTCAGCTCTGTGGGACTGTTCGGGGTGTTACTGCGATCGCTTTGCCTGTCTCACCCTCTAACCTGCAAAAGCCTCGTGTGCAGAGACTGCCGCCACGTGGATGAACCTCAGAAACAAGCACAGGGGACGAAGGCGTAAAATTCTAGAATAAGCAGCACTACAGTGATAGGCGCGAGCTCACTTACTGCCTCTGGGGAGGGGGTGTAGGAGCATCCTTGGGTGATGGAAACAGACTATCTCAAAAGTGTGGTGCTTACAAAGGTTGAAAGAGGTTATATTTGTCAAGCTTATAAAACCAAATACTTAAGATCTATACACTTCAGCACGTGTAAATTATATGGGGGGGCAGTGCTATGAAACTAACACTGATTTCAGCGGACCGCGACCGGTCCGGTCCGGGGAAGCGCGGTCTCCATGCAGAAGGTGCCGCCCTGGGAGCCGCTCTCCTGACAGACCGAAGGCAACCACCTGGATGGGGCCGGCAGCAATGTGAGGGGGCTGCACCCACCCCTCCACCCGCGTGCACACGCGCCGGCTCACGCTCGGCTGTGGACCCTCTGGTGCTGGATGAGATGGAAGCTCAGGCGGAAGGCGCGTCCGCACTCGGCGCAGCGGAAAGGCTTCTCGCCCGTGTGCACCCGCTGGTGCCGGAAGAAGCCCGACAGGGCCCTGAAGGAGCGCCCACACTCCCCGCACTCGTGGGGCTTCTCGCCCGTGTGGATGCGCCGGTGCTCGCTGAGGAAGGAGCTGCGGCTGAAGGCGCGCCCGCACTGCTGGCAGGCGAACGGCTTCTCGCCCGTGTGCACCCTCTGGTGCTGGATGAGATTGGAGCTCTGGCTGAAGGCCTTCCCACACTCTTTACACTCGTAGGGGTTCTCTCCGTGGTGGGTCCTCTGGTGCCGGGCCACGTTCGACCCGTGGATGAAGGTTTTCCCACATTCCTGACACTCGTACAGCCTCTCCCCAGTGTGAATTCTCCGGTGCTTAATGGCGTCTGACCTCTGGCTGAAGGTCTTGCCACACTCAGCACACTCATAAGGTTTTTCTCCAGTGTGAACTCGCTGGTGTCTGATGAGGTTGAAGCTCTGGCTGAAGGCTTTCCCACACTCCTTACAGACGTAGGGCCTCTCCCCGTTGTGCACCCGCTGGTGCCGAACGACGTGGGAGCTGTGGCTGAAGGCTTTCCCACAGTCGCTGCACACGTAGGGCTTCTCCCCGGAATGGATGCTCTGGTGCTTGGCCATGTCCGAGTAGCACTTGAAGCTCCGTTCACAGGTGCTGCACTGATACGGCCGCCAGTGGCCTCTGCCATCCGTTGTGGAGCCTGTGTTCAGGGTGACACCTGGCCCTGGCACACTGTCCTCGTGGTCACTCTGCTCTCCAGTTTTCTCATAAACAACTGGTCCCTGAAGGGCCTCTCTGGGCCTCTCTCCAGCTTCCTCATTCCCACAAAGGTCCAGGAACCCCGGAGCCAGGGGAGGTCCCTGGCACAGGCTTGGGACCCTCTCTCCATGGTGTTCCCCTTCTTCCTGCTGTGGTGTCAGCCCTGTGCTCTGAGCCCCCTGCTCAGCAGCCTGGCGGCCCCTTGACACCTGTGTGCGGAGAGCTGGAAAAGAGGGTCAGGGAGGTGGTTTAGACACCAGACTACTAACCACACTCAGCCATGAGGGGGCTGGAGGTGGCGGGGTGACCCACACAGGAGTGACGATGTACGTCGGCGTGTACTGGACCCCATCCATGGTTCCCGCCCCGTTCTCCCTCCCTTCTAACCTCTGTGTGGCCTGGAGTGGACGAGGGACCAGAGGGCGGGGAGTCAGGCTCCTCCCTGGGACTGCAGGAGCGGAGGGGACAGGACGGCTCTGCTGCGGCGGCTCGGCCAGGAGGCCTGGGGATGAGGGCTGACGGCAGCCCTGGTCCCCACTGATCACTGACTCTGGACTCCCCCAGACCACTGTCCTTCACAATCCCCCCAACCTGCCAACCTCAAAGGGCTCTGTCCCCGTGTCGAGGGCCCTTCTCAGCCATCAACACCACAGCAGCAGCCCGTGGGGGACGGCAGGGCCGCTGGGTCCTGGCTGCCACAGGGAAGCGGCTGGTTAACCAGGTCCCCGGGCTCACGGCACAGAGCTGGTGCCCCTTTGGACAGGAGGTCAGGGACATGGCAGTGCAGTGGGGTGTCGGGAGGCGGGCAGTCTCAGCACGGGGGGTCCTCCTAAGGGAGAGGACCCTGGGAAGCTGGTCAGGACAAGGCAGGGCCACCAGGGCACAGCACCTGCCCACAGGCAGGACCTCACTGGCCGCACCCTCAGGAGCTGGGTGGCAGATGTGACCAAGGCTCCCGCAGGGGGCTGGCCAGGATGAGGTTCCTGGGCACTGGGGGGCAGGTGCCCACGGGAACTCTCCATCGGCCTCTAACAAGGAGGCTGTGAGGTGGAGGAGTGAGCAGGGCCGTGGGCACACGTCCAAGGGGTGGTCTGGGAGGGAAGGTGGCGGCGCCCTCACTCTGGTCACGCGGTTGTGTACACTAGCAAATGGAAAACCGAGTGCGAGTCCTCAGACCTGACAGCCCGAGATGGCCTCAGACTGCAGCTCGTCTCGTCACCGGCTCCGAGCCGACACTGCTGGGCCCGGCAAACAGCCCAGAACCAGTCTTCTCGTTCTCAGAGTCTCTGGGCGGGGGACCCGAGAGAGGGGCGCAGGGTGTGGCAGGAGTCGGGAGCAGTGGAGAGGTGAGGACCACGGGTGCTCTGGTGGGAGTGAAGCGGGGCAGCTATGTCCCGTGTGGCTGGCCTTGGGGAGCCCTGGCTCTTGAGCTGTCCCCATTCCCTACCCCAGGACAGCTGTCGGGCCTGGCTGCCCGCCCCTCACCTGCACGTGTGTCCATCAGGGTGGCCTCTCACCGTGTCCTGGAACCCCAGGCCCGGGCTCCCCTCCCTGCAGACACACCAGGAGTGGGGACACCTGATGGGGCAGAAGGAAGAAAGGGGAGAGAGTGACAAAGAGTGGGGAGAGGTTAGAGCACCTGGAGTCCTGAAGAAGCTACCTCACCGCGGGCCCGTCCTGCCTGAACAGACACCCGGGGCCAGTGTCCATGGTGGTGGCTCCCCGGCCACTTGGACACAGCCAAGACGAGTGTGTGGCCCCTGCTGGCCCTGCCGGCCCCTTACTCCACGAGGACCTGGCCCAGCACCTTCAACCAGTCCTCAGATGTCCAATGAGATATCCACAGACTCCATTCTCTTGATAGTTATGACCATTTGGATACAAGAATAAGATATTACACGAACAGCACAATTTTGTTTAAAAAATCTTTTTTCTTTCTTTATTGGTTTTTCGAACATCGATTAGCCGCCTCTTGCATATCCCCCACTGGGGATGGGGCCCACAACCTGGGCCTGTGCCCTGACCAGGAATCCAACCAGCGACCTCTTGGTGCAGGGTCGACGCTCAACCACTGAGCCACACGGGCCGGGCGAAGGGCACACTTTGGGCTGACGGATGAAGTTGTTAGGCTCCACACCAAAGTCTGACTTACCGGCACAAGAAATGTGCTAAACCAAAACCCGGGCCCTGGCCGGTGCAGCCCAGTGGTTAGACCTGCGGCCGAAGGGTCGCGGTGGATCCCGGTCAGGAGCGCGCACTGGGGGCAGGTGTGATCCGCCGTCTGCAAGCGGGGGGCAGCCAGTGGACGTGTCTCAATGCATGTGTCTCTGTCTCCCCCCCTCCCACTCCATCTAAAATAAAAAATAAACGGAAAAATATCCGGGTGAAGATTTTTTTTAAAGGAATTTAAAACACCCTTTCTTTACTCTGCAAGCGGCAAAGCCTTAAAGACGGAGCCCGGCGAGCAAGGCTGCGCCCGGTTCACCGCGCCTCGCCCGGCGTCGCGGGGCCGCTTACAAGGGCCCCGAAGTCACGCCGATTCCACCCCCGGCGACCTCCCACCCACGCCGGGACTCACCCACGCGGAAACGTCGCCTCCCCCCAGGGAGAAACCTGAATTCCGTAACCTGGATACAGGACGGCTCGGCCAACGCGCGCCAGCGCCTGGGGCGCAGCGACCCCTGGCGGCCGCCTCGTGCTCCGGGGGAGGCTGCTCGCGGCCGCGGCCGCAGCGCCGTCTCCCGCTTCCCCTCTCCTCGGCCGGCGGGCGGCTCTCCCTCGAGAACCCAGGACGGACTCGCGGCCCTGCACCCCGACCTCACGATCGCGCCCCGCCCGGCCCAACCTCAGCCACCCCCAACCCGGCCGGCCGCCACTCACCCGCTGTCCCCCGGGCACACCCGAAGCAACTCCGACCTCTTCATACGCGAAGAGGCTACTTCCGGCAACTCTCTAGGCTGCAGGGGGAAACTGGCGCTCATCTGCCCTGGAGGCCGCGGCGCGAGCACTTCCTGCGACGCTCTAGGCCGCCGGGGGTGGTGTGGGAGCGCTCGGCTGCCCTCCGGACCGCGACGCGAGCACTTCCGGTGACGCTCTAGAACGACGAAAGAATTGTGCTTTCAGCTACTCTGGAGGCTGCCGCTCAGACACTCTCTGTGAACACCGAGAAGAAAACACCAAAACTTCGCTCAGCTGCCTGGAAGCCGCGGCGCGGGCACTTCCGGCGGCGCTCTAGGCGTGCGAAGGACTGTTTGCTCAGCTGCCCTGGAGGCCGTGGCGCGGGCACTTCCGGCGACGTCCTAGGCCGCAGGAGGAGTGTGCGCTCAGTGGCCCTGGGAGGCCGCTGGGCAGGCGTGCTGCTGCCACCGCGCTTTTCTTCCCTGAGATTTTTCAAAAGCGGGTTTCATAGCTCGAGCGCAAGGCCCCCCCCAGCTGTTGTCCAACCCATCTTCACGGCAACCCCGCCCACCACGGCCTGCCAGCCTCCGCGACCCTCTGCCAGCCTCCACTCCCCACGCACCTGCCTCAGGCATCTCTGCGGTCTCCCACCTGGCTCCCCGCGTCCAGCCAGGTCAGGGATGAGGTCAGGGAAGTAGGTCTGGCTTTGGTGACCGAGCTGACTGCCGAGTGGACGAATGAACGAAGTCGGGTCTAGTGGAGGAAGAGGGGCCAGTGGAGGGGGGGGGGTAGTGGAGGAAGGGGAGCGCCGGGAGGAAGGAGGCTACAGACTCCGGAACCTTTCGGTGGAGAAGAGGAGAAAATCGGCGCGCGTGGGGACGGGGCACGGGGCGCGGACCACAGACCCGCGCACAGGAGCCTCCCAGGAGCCCTCCGCCCTCATGTCTACTACCTGCACCCGCACCGTGAGCCCCGCACCGCGGGATTCACCTGGTCTGACATTAACACGCCCGAGACCGTTTCCAGGGAAAGGAACTGGTTCGGGAAGCAAGGCGCCTCCCCGGCCAGGCTGCGCTGTGCTGACGGACAACCTGAGTCCACAGAGCCCCACGTTCTCTGACGGTCAGCGCTGGTGCCGTCGGCGGGGACCTTACCGGCGCCTGAGGCATCCGTGTTTCGAGGACGGGGGTGCAGTTCCGGGGAAAAGATGAGAGCACCAGACCGCAGTGGATAGACCCTTAGGCTGGTGGTCAACAGTGGAGCCAGGAGGGAAGGACGCAGTTTGAGTCTCCACCCAGTGCCAGAGCAGTTACCTCTTTTGGCCTAGAAATAGCTTCCGACGTAGGAGTGGGGGATGCAGACCACAGACTGCCCGCAGCCCGAGGTGCAAGGGGGGCTGCGGGCAGGACACCGCGCTGCGTGCTGGAGGCCGCCCTCCCGTGAGGGCAGAAGGCAGGAGCAGCCCCACTTTCTCGGGACCCTGTAGCCTCTGCTACAAGCCCGCAGCTTCCCCAGCCCAGCCTCGCATCCCTGCTCTCCATCAGTAAACAGTTGTGTGCACACCCACCACATACTGTCTTACTTATTTGTAACAAAGTATACTGCAAAGTATACAAAACATGTAAAAATACAAACATATGCCTGGCCAGTGTGACTCTGGATGGAGCGTCGTCCCACGCACTGAGGTCGGGCTTTGGTTCCCGGTCGGGGCACATGCCGGCTGTGCACTGGATCCCCAGGAGGGGGCGAGCAGGAGGCAGCCGATTGATGCTTCTCTCACATCGATGTTTCTCTCTCTCTCCCAAAAATCAATTTTAAAAACGCCATATTAAAAAGTTATCTGTAAAAAATAAATAAAAAATTTTGATATATATTTTTTTCCTGTATTGATTTTAGAGAGAGGAAGGGAGAGGGCGATAGAAACATCAACGAGAGAGGATATCGATTGGCCGCCTCCTGCACGCCCCCCCACTGGGATTTGGGTCCACAACCTGGACATGTGTCCTGACCGGAATCGAACTGGGACCGCTTGGTGCATAGGTCAAGGCTCAACCGCAGCGGCCGGGCTAAAATAAACACATTTTGAAAGGGTGATCTAAAAAGTAGAAATGGGTTTTCCCCGCATCGGTTTTGCCCTGGTCTGCAGGGCTGCTCCGCCCACAAGACATTCAACACGCAGCCGGTGGACGGCCCCACGCACCGGCCTCCCCGGCCTCTTCCACCGCAGAACCGGGCGAGGTGCCCATCTGGGCTCACCCTGCGCTCGCCTCTCGGCCCCGCCCCGCCCCGCCGGCACTTCCGGCCGCTCTAGAAGCTCGGAGGACCCGCTGGAAAACTGGGGTAGCGGCTGGGGACCGACCTGGGGGACCAGCTCCTGGTCGGGAAGACCCGCTGGGGCGGAAGAGCAGCCGGGAGGGCCAGCCCGGGCAAGGCGCGTGCCTGGAGCTGTCCGCGGTGCTGGACGGGCCGATGGCCTCTGCAGGTTGCCCCGAGGCCCCTCAGGAAGGGACCGCGCAAGGGGACCGCCAGGCTTGCGGGGCTCTGAGGCTGCAGGGCCTCCAACTCACAACCTAGAAGGCCTCTGGGTGTACGGTGGGCGAGAAAACGGGGAGGCGAGGTCCGGGGGGCTGGGTGGCCCTGGGCAGGGATAGCGACCACCCGCTCGCACTAGGGTAAGAAGCGCACCGTCCACTGCCGAGGCAAGTCGACGGCGCCCAGCTGAAGGAATTGATCGATTCGAACATGACATGAGCCCGGCGGTGTTGCTCAGCAGTTGAGCGTCGACCCCTGCACCAGGAGGTCGCCGGTTCGATTCCCAGTCAGGGCACATACCCAGGTTGTGGGCCCGATCCCCAGTGGGGGCCTGCAGGGGGTGACCACCAGATGTTCTTCCTCATCGATGTTTCTGTCTCTCTCCCTCTCCCTTCCTCTCTCTCTAAAATCAATAAAGAAAAACAAAAGAAAATAACTGGAGGGGCAAGAGATGGACCTGGGTGTGACCGCTACCTTCAGATCTGACGGGCCCTTTCAGTGACCAGGGCAGCAGGCTGTGACAGGCCGAGAGGACCGAGCTGGGGACAAGCAGAGGTGAAAGGGCAGGTCCCAGCCCACGCCAGTCACCCCACAGTTCCAGTTGTCTGAGTAGGGCCAGGACAACTGCCTGGGCAGGAGCACCTGCTTTGAGGGGCTGGATAAGACCAGAAGTCCCCAAACCTGGCACACTGTCCACGTCAGTGGGATGTGGGGTGAAATCCAGATTCCCGGGTCACACAGCAGGCCTACTGAGTGAGCCTCCTCTGGTCCCAGGGAGTTGAGGTCTGGGGGAAGGATGGTGGACGCTAGCGCAGACTGGGTGGTCCTTTAGTGGATTCTCACAGCCACGAAATGCGGTCCTGGAAAATGCAGGCCAGAGGCCAGTGCTTCCCAGGACTGAGATCAGCAGGGGACCTCCAAACACCTGTGGGGACACAGGGCTTTGGTGCGGGCACGAGAAGGGGCATGAGGCCCAGGCATCGAGCCCAGCCTTGGCACTGAGGCTGCAGATGACCCTCCAGGAGCACGGATGGACTCTGTCATTATCTGTGAAGCCCGGGAGGCCCTACCAGGCTGTCCCGGGGAGACGAGGGGGCCGATGGACCATTATGGTTGCCTCTTCCAGGCCAAAAGGACTACATTCCAGGGCACCACCACCTTGAAGCTGATGTCCAGAGAGCCTGGCCTCCAGCCCTCTCCTCTGGAGTGGCTCTCGCCTTCTCTTCCCAAGGGCAGGGAAGACCTAAGTGCTTGATGGTCCTCGAGCCCCAGGAGGGTGGTGGAAAAGGGGGGTGGCTCAACCGTAGGGTCCTAGCAGGAAAAACAATACTGAGGTGAGGCTCAGAGTTGCAGCCTTGGGAGGGGCCAGGCACTCAACATGGGGTGGTGCCACCCTGTCCAGGAGGGAGCAGGCAGGACAGGGAGTGGGCACACACTGTTGGCACTTGGGCCACCCCGTGCTGCTGAGCTCTCCCCAGAACTCAAGTCTGGTCACTCCAAGGCAGATCCAGCAGATCTGAAGACAGCCCACAGCTGGTAAGAGGGAACAGCCTGGGCCGCTCCTCCCGGGGCGGTGTGGAGGTGAGAAGGCAGCGGGGGGCCTGGCGCCTGCTGCATGGAGAAGGAGCCCCATGCGTCTCCCAGACACCCGAGGGGACTGTTACCAGGAGTGGGGGCTGCGGCCTCTGGAAACACCCATCTTGAGGAGCCTGCCCACACCCTGCGTGTGGCTCTGGGTGTCATGACACCTCCAGGCCTCAGCCCCTGGCGAGCTCAGACCCGAGGCCCCAGGAGACTAAAGGGGCCGTTAGGACCCCACTTCACCCCTCCCCCGATCGGCCCTTGGGGGACAGAGAGCAGCCCCCGGCCTCATCCAGGTATGAGTGGCTCTGGTTTCCATCACTTAAAAAGAATTTATTCGGGACACTCGGATGTGCGGCCCGCCGGAAAGGGCGAGAAGGCCGGAGCCCTCTGCAGGCCCCCGGAGGCCTGACGGGCCGCTACTCCCGGTAGTGGACCCGCTGGTGCTGGATGAGCTGCGAGCTCTGGCCGAAGGCCTTGCCGCAGGCGCCGCAGGCGAAGGGCTTCTCGCCCGTGTGGGTCCGCAGGTGGCGGAAGAAGTGCGAGCGGCCGCGGAAGGCCTTGCCGCAGGCGCCGCACTCGTAGGGCTTCTCGCCCGTGTGGATGCGCTGGTGCTCGATGAGCACGGAGCTCCAGACGAAGGCCTTGCCGCACTGGCTGCAGGCGTACGGCTTCTCGCCCGTGTGCAGCCGCTGGTGCCGCACCAGGTTGGAGCTCTGGCTGAAGGCCTGGCCGCACTGGCCGCACGCGTACGGCTTCTCGCCGTTGTGCACGCGCAGGTGCTGCGTGAAGTGCGAGCTGTGGCTGAAGGCGCGGCCGCACTGGCCGCACTCGTAGGGCTTCTCGCCCGTGTGCACGCGGTGGTGCTGGATGAAGCCGGACCAGCCGCGGAAGCGCTTGTCGCACTCGTGACAGGCGTAGGGCTTCTCGCCCGTGTGCGCGCGCTGGTGCTTCAGCAGGAGCGAGTTGTACTTGAAGCTCTTGCCGCAGGCCTCGCAGCGGTGCGGCTTCCCGCTCCGCGGGCCTGCGCCCCGGCCAAAGCTGTCCCCCGGCTCCGGGCCGGCCTCCGCCCCAGAGGCTCCCTGCGGCACGAGGGGCACGTGCCAGGCGCCCCTCTTCTGAGGGCAGGACACGGCCCCTGCCTGGCCCACTGGCTGCTCCAAGCTGGCCTCCTGCCCAGAGCGGTCGGCACACGCGCGCCGACGGGGGAGGCTCCTCAGGAGGGTCCCCAGCGCCCCGCCACTCCAGGCCATCTCACGCACAGGGCCCTGCGGCTGGGGAGATGGCAGAGCCGGGCCCAGCTCCGGCTGGGAACCTGAAATGACAAGTGGGAGAGGTAGCCAGCACCCACCCACGCACCCACCAGCCCATCTGCCCTGGGGCCCTACTGCGCCAGTCCAGGTCACCTGACCAGCAGGGGGGCCACTGTGCTGGGGCCAGGCTGAGAGCTGACCGGGCAAGGACCTGGCGGGTCAGACTCGGAAAAAACACAAAGCCCCCTGAGCCAGAGGGTGCTGCCCAGACCCCTGCAGGAGCCAGAACGCTGTGGCCGTCCCCACCCAGGTGCCTCTCCCGAGGCTCGTAGGCCTGTGGCTCCACTGCTCCTGGGGGGGGGGGGGGGCGTGGCCAAGGTCGGGTGGCAACTGCCTCTCGGCCCAGCTCCCCATCCCAGGAACCTGACCTCAGACACCTGCAGGACCTCCAGGTGGCACGGAGAGCTGTGCTGAGTGGACATCCCCAGGCCTTCTCGTGGGCAGGGGGGCATGGGGGGGTGATTGAGGGGATGGGGGCCTGGATTAGCCCCGCCCTAGCCAGGCTGTGGGGAGAAGGGGTTGGAGGCCGAGGGCACTGCACAGCAGGAGAGGGGCCCAGGGACTCCCTAGGTGCTGGTCTGGGGGGGGCAGTGGTGGTGAGTTAGAGACCCCAATCCAACAGGCAGGTGGCTGTGGGGGTCTGGGGCTCAGGGGAGGGGTCTGGCTGCACTTACAGACGCGGGAAGTGTCATGGGGAGAGCGGGACTGATGGGGAAGGGGCGGGGGCAGAAGTGGGCTCTGGGCGGGGTCCTGGCAGTGGTGGTGCCCAGAGCGGCGAGGCGGGCGAGGCTGCGCAGAGCCTGGCATGCAGCAGCCACGGGCAAAGGTGCTCCTGGGCTGGTCCCGGGCAGACTCTGCTCACCACCTGGCCAGCAGGTGGCCCTGAGGATGGGGGACTCCTCCACCTCCTGCACATCCAGGTCCAGCGGAGCTTCCTCCCTGGGTGGTTGGGGTGGCGCCTCAGGGCTGCGGCCAGGGGAGCCTGAGGGTACGGGGGCTGCGCTCATCTCCCAGTCCCCTCAAGCCCAGGGCTCTTTCCACAGCCTGCAGGAAGCCACCTGCTTCCTGGGACAGTGCCCTCCACACACAGCACCCCTGCAGGGCCTGCAGGGCCAGGTGGAAGGGCCTGCCTGGCGGCCCACATCTCTCCTTTAGGGTCAACCCTGGCGGTTTCCTCACAGGCATGGCCCCCACTTCTGTTTCTGATACAGCATAAGGAGGGCCGAAGCTGCCTCCCACTGGGCAAAGTCCCGGCACACTTGGACGTGGCCCAGGACCTGCCGGGCTCTGCTGGCGCAGCCTGGGTCAAGGAGAGCCCCCTGCATGGGCGCTGGGACTCCGTCCTGAGCACCAGCCTTCGCATCCCTCAGGGCTGGCTCAGCCGGCACACCCTGCAGGACAGCCTCTCTCCAGTCCTTCGCCCCGCCTGTCCCCTCCCGGCAGGAGCCGTGGCTTGCTGGGCCCAGGGGGTCAAGGGCACGTGGAGTCAGACTGACGTGGTCTGTCCTGCCGGCCTCCACTGGCTCGCTTCGGGGTTTCCGTGTCCCCATCGCACACGTGGGGACAGGGGGTCCTAACTCGCCAGGCTGTTTTGAGGGTGTCATGAAAAACTGGAGGTAAAGCCTGGGCCTCAAAGTGCCACCTGCATAAGGGGCAGGGAGCGAGGCCCCCAGAGGCTTGGGGCCGAGAGCCCCGGGCAAGGTCCCAGCACCACTGCACAGGGAGAGGCGGCGGGTCCAGCAGAGACTTGAGCAGCGTGTGTGCTGGGTGGTGCCTGGGCTCCCTCCAGGCCGCACCCGTCCATCCCACCCCACCCCCCCAGCCTGGCCACCACAGGAGCAGGGTGCTGGCAGGGTCCCGGGGCTCCCGCTGTGGTCTGGGCCGGCCTAGTGATGACCCAAGTTCCTCAGCTGTGTGTGACCTCATGCCACCCGACCTCTCATCTGTTAGTGCCCGCCTGACAGGGCTGCCCCTGGCGTCGTGATCTGCCCAGAGCCCAGTACTTAGCGTAGCTGCTCCCCCCGAATCTCAGCTTACTTGTGTCCTCAGCTGAGAGGTGTGGGCAGGCCTCCTGTGGGACGTGAGGCATGGACAGGACCCTGGGGCTCCCTGACGTCTGAGCATGAGCAGGGCCCAGGGCACCATGCGCTTGGGGCTTGGACATCCTTTTCAAAGGCTCGGAGAGGGGGGCGAGATGGCTCCCGTCACAGGAGCCAGGCTCTGGGGCAGCTTCTCTCTTTGCCCGACAGTCCCAGGGGACTGTCCCTGAGGAACTGCTGCTCACAAAGCTTGGCCCCCAGCCTCAACCGACGCTGCCCAAGTCCCAACCGGAACCTGAGGGTGCAGGAGCCCCAGCCACGGTGAGCTGCCTTGGTCCTGCCCACAGGGTCGGTGGTGCCGGGCCAGTACCGTGTTGGTTGTGGGAGTGAAGCCGGGCCTCCTGGTGGTGGGTTCCAAGTGTCCCCGGTGACTCGAGACTGACAGGGGATGGGACACGAGGGGGCTCCTGACCGTCCCCCAGAGCTGCCATCTTCCCCAAGGCCTGACGAAGATGTGCACACCTGGGACCTGGGAAATGAAAACCATGGCAGGATGAGGGGTCAGAGGGTGGCATGGTGCGGGGCGGGCAGCGCCAGCTATACATCAGCCGCAGGCGAGCTAGGGGAGAACACAAGAATGCCTAGAGGTACCGTGTGGGGCCTGGGGTGCGAGGTGATTCCGGTTCCTGGGACGTTACTCCATGTGATCAGCACAGCAACCTGCCGAAACCAAACCAAAAAGCTCTGTCCCGAAAATGGCCAGGAAAGTCCACCCAACCCAGAGAAAAAAGCAGACTGGTTCTCCCAGGTAAACCTCCTGCACCACAACAGGAGCCGCTGGCCCTGGGGGAGGCGGACAAGCTGGGCCTGTCTCCCGGAGCGTGAACATGCTAGGCTAGACCCTGACGCGAAGTTCCCAAGGAGGGAAACCTCTCCTCCCTCAGATCCCGCAGAGGCCCGTGGAAGCTGCGGGCGGTGCTCCCCCATCCCTGCCCAGGGTGCTGGGCCTCTTTGGGGGCCACGGGTACTCTTGTTTACTTTGATCTGCAGGGGTGGCTTGTGCAGTGAGGACGTTCCTGTGCACCCCGATGAGCGGGCTCCTAACGTGGGGGTGAAGCAAGGGGCCGGGGCTAGGAAGAGTCAGTGCCGACTCTGCAGTGCCAGCAGACAGACCTGCAGGGCCTCGCCCGTGCCCCGGGCCTCCACGGGCCTCATCCCTAACGGCGGGAAGGTCACGGCAGCCCGGTGCGTGGACACAAGGTGGGGCTACAGTCACGACATCTGGGCGCAGGTCCTTGGCCCCGGAGCCACACCTGAAGCACTGCGTTAACTTCCCGGGGCGCCCTGGGAAAGGGCATGCTCAGCCCTTCCCGGCCGCCCGGGCGGGGTGGCGACCACGCAGGACGCCCGCAGGGACGAGCACAAGCTCTGGGCGCAGGCCCCCCGGCTGCAGCCGCGCACGCGAGCCAACGCCACCGGCGCAGGAGCGACCTTCCTCGGCCCGCGTCTTCCAGCCTGGAGCGCGCGGCGGACACTCGCTGGCCGGGACCTCGGACATGCGTTTCTCGGCCTCGGTTTACCATCTGCAAAGTCGGCATGCCGGTTCCCGCCCCTCGGGTTCGGGCGCGTGGGGAGGCGCCCCGCAAACACACGGCCTCTCCGCCCTGGGCGCCCCCGAAGCCCCTGGCCGGGGTCAGGGTCACGCGGCAGCCACGGCCGGTTCGCCAGGACGCACTAGCGCAGGCCGAGCCGGGCGCCCCCGCAGTCGCCGCCCCCACCCGGAGCCCACTCACCTTCCCAGCCGGAGGTGGACGCCGTGCCGCGCCGGCCGGAAGTCAACCCGCGCCCCGCCCCGCCCGCACTTCCGGGCCCCTCTGGACGCCTGGAGGACTGCCGCCTCGGTGGCCCCAGGCTTGCGATGGGCGCGCTCACAAGTGGTTTGGGATGTGCCGTTCCCGAGGACAAGGACGGTGGAGCCTGACCTTCACCGCCTCCGCTTTTCCGTCCTGTCCCTCCCCGTGCTCCGCCGCCCTGTGTCGCCCCGGGGATTTGTGTCTGCGGGGGGGGGGGGGGGGAGGATTTCTGGGGGTTCTGGGGACTCCCTGCAGAGACTTGGCCACCCCGGGTCTCCCGCCCACCTTTGGACCCCAGCGCTGTCCCGGGCCCTGCCGGGCTCCTCGGCCTCCACGGGCATCTCCTCAAGCAAGTGCTCAGGCTCCTGCCAAAAGTGCACCCTGGAGCCCTGGCCGGTTTGGCTCAGCGGTTAGAGTGTCGGCCTGCGGTCCTGAGAAACCGGGGGTCGGTTCCCGCTAAGGGCATGTACCTTGGTTGCAGTTTGTCCCCAGCCTTGGTCGGTTGTGCGGGTGGCAGCCACTCGATGTGTCCCTTTCACATCGTTTCTCTCTCTCTCTGTTCCTCTCTCTCCCTCCCACTCTACCTGAACAAAAAATGGAAAAATGTCCTTGGGTGAGGATAAATAAATAAATAAATAAATAATAAAAATAAAAAAAAAAGAAAGTGCACCCTGGATTTCAGCTGCTGAAACCTGGATGCCTGGCAGCTTCCCTGCCCCACCCAGGTGCCAGGAGCACTTCCCCAGTTGTGACGACCAAACATGCCCCTAGACATCGTCTGCGTCCCTTCTGGGGTCCGCTCCTCCCGAGGGCAGCGGCTCTAACGCTGGCAGTCCCAGGGGCCCAGGAAGCAAGCCCAGCGCCTCCCAGACTCCACCAGGGGTTAGGACTGCAGGCACTAAGCACCCGGCAAACCCAAACTTAGTCTCCCAGGTACGGAGGGCCACAAAGGTGGTGTCTGCAGAGGGCACAGCATCTTGTCACTGCAGGGGTCGCTCCCATCCTAAGTGAGCAAGCACCTTTTCTGGTTTATGTGTGGTCTCTGAGGAGTTTGGTTAATGTGAGTCGCCCTCAAGACACCCGTGAAAGGCTGCTGGCTCTCTGGTCTGTGCCACGTTCTCTGGGGGAGGCAGCATTGCCTCTCTGGGGAGTCCCAACTGCACCCACAAGCTGCAGAGATCAACAGAATGCGGCGAAGAGGTCAGGACAGATGTTTATTGTAGGAGAAAGCAGGCCCCAGCAGGTCCCAGCACAGGAGGCTCTGTGATGAGTGTGGAGACCGCAGGGAGCAGGTGGGAGCCAGTGTGGCTCCATCTGTGTCAGGAGACCACGTGGACACAGGAACCACAAAAGCAGAGAACATCCACCCCAGGCAGAGCACACTTGCTTAATAAGGACTGAGGAGTGAAGGGATTTCAGAGTAAAATTTCAATGTTGACTAGTCGGAGAGTTAAATTTCTGGACACTAAATTAAGTGAAAAACACCAGGCTAGCGAGTGTCCGCACCACCACGGGCCCGAGACCACCAGCTGTGTGCCAGAGGGTTCATGGCCCACGGCCACCTCGAGCCACTAGGTATGTGTGCACGGACACACTTCCTGGGGGATGTAAGGAGAAGGCCAGTACACCGAGTGCGCAAGCTCACCAGGAAACACATTCACACCAAGAGGCATGGACACAAAGAACAGAGAACCAGATGCCCCATGGGGAGGCTGCAGTGAGCGGGCACACATGGTGTAGCAGGCACACCCAGTGCCGAGACCAAGGCGTGCTTCGGAGCCGAGGCCACTGGGTGCTTGCCCTGAGGGGATGGTGACTTCGGGCCTCAGAAACCATGTCTGCAGATGGCTTTGGGCAGCACCAGCCCTGTCCCCAGGCCAAGCCTGGATCCTGACGGGACCCTGCAGGTCACCCAGCAGGTGGCAGGAGTTTGCGGGGAGGAATCCTGGAGACAGCAGACTCCAAGCTTAGCACACAAAGGTCCCTGGGCAGCGGACCTGGAGACCACCCTGGCGCCAGCCTGTTCCTTCCCTGCGCCTCGGAGACACCCCGCTTTACCCCTCCATCCTGGCTCACTGAGAATGCTCTCTGACCTGCTCCAGAGCAAATGTCCAAGTGCCCCCAGTGCCATGAACTTCCTTCCTGGGGCTGAGGCCACGTGGCCCAGCCTAGTCCTGTCCACTCTACAGCACGAGTTGGAGTCTAGCTCACTTGCAGAGGTAACAAATGATCACCTCTTGGTGCCCAAACTGGGTCAGATATGAGAGTAGAAAGAAAGCCCAGGCGATACCCTGCTGCCCACAGGAGTGCAGTGGACCCCAGTGCAAGAGCGGCCAGAAGCCAAAGTCACTGATCAGGCCCTGCTCTGTGGCCCTCACTGCCCACTGCCCCACGGCGCTGTCTCCCCACCTTCCCTCAGAGGGGCAGACGCTGGCATGGCTCACAGGACGCCAGCAGGAGCACACCAACATCAAGTCCCTGGGGCATCCACGGGCATCACCACATATGTTCAGGGTCCTCTGTGGCCTTCACCCAGATGCTGGGTCGCCTGGAGCCATCCCTGCACTCTCCATGGACTGTGGTGGAGCCGGCGGTGTGTCGAGGCACCGAGGTGGGTCTGGGTCGCTGCTGTACATCTTCCTGTGACAGTGGGGAGGTGCCCGAGATCTGGGACATTCTCAGCCTGCAGTGTTCCCATGTGGAGCCCATTCCCAGAAGGCCGGGTCAAAGGAGTCAGGGGTGCCTCCCGGCCAGGGCGGGCACACATCCACGTCTGCCCACTGTGAACCTTTTCACCTCTGAAAGGTCTGGGAGTCACGTGAGGGCCCAGTTATTTCCAGTTTCCTGTCACTGCACTCCCGACGGACTCCGATGAAGCACCGCCCTGCTCACCTGCCTGCAGGGACAGCCCTCCCCACACCGGTGTCCCCACCTGTCCTGCAGCCTCGGGGGCTGGACTAGAGGTTTCCTTTCCTCGCTTCCTTCTTGACCTCTGGTCCTCCTCAGAGTTCAGGAATGTGGGAACTTTGTTAGTTCTGAGGTTCCTTTTTATGCATATTTCATTGGGAATGTCTTGCTTCGGGGTGGTCTGCTCTCACAACCTGGAAAGGATGAGAGATGCCTCTTGAATAAAGAAAGAAGCGCAGTTATTACCTTGTTCCTTGTTGGCAAAAGCCAGCCATGAAAGCCAGGAAGTGGCTTTGATCACGAGGCCTGGTCCTGGCTGACGGTGCTGCGGGGGAGGGGAGCAGTGCGAGGCTCCGCTTGGACCCCGCGCCCGGATGGCAGGAGGTCGCCAGGCAAGCGCTTCCTTTTCATTCACTTAAGAAAGTTGGGAAAGATCAAACACACAAACTTAGGGTGTACATGGCGGAAGTGACAGCGAAGGATCCAACGCCCGCTTACACTCCATCCAGTTTAGGAGGCTGACGCCCCACACCCGACCCGCTGGGGGCCTGCTCACCCACTAGCCCTACTACATGTGTGTCACACACATTGTTCGGTTTTGCCTGGTTCTGCGCTTGATAAAATTAGTCGGACTGTGGGTCTCCCGTGACATACTGTGCGCAGCCTTGACAGTCCTTTCCAAGAACCAACCTGTCATGTTAATTCCCCAGCGGTCCTGTTCCCACGACTGACATCTGTTCTACCATCTCTCCCTTCCCCTCCGAGTACTCCTGCAAGTCAGAGTTCTCTCTGTAAGTTAGAGTCAAACCCTGGGCAGTGCCCACTGCCCGAGAGCATGGACAGGTGACTGGCGCTGACAGTCGTCGGGTAAGCAGGGTGAGCCAGCACTGCACTGAGGACTTCACACGTGAGGTCACTGAAGAAGGGTAAGTACCCTATTTCACACCTGTTCTCTCTGTAAGTCAGAGTCGGCCGCTTGGCCTCCTGACCCCAGCTTCCCGCTGACCGGGTGGAGGGTGACCGCCTCCGGTCTGGAAGCAGCTCCGCGAGTGCTATTTTCACTGTGGCTGAGCCTTAAGCACTTTGTAACAGCCAGCAGGGGTTTTTGAGTTGGATTATTTAGAAGGTTTTCTTTTTCCTGGAACGCGAGTGAGCTCCATTTGAACAACAAGAAACACGGACGCGGAGGCGAACCTGGAAGGTCAGGCTTGGGCGCTGGGCAGGAGCAGAACTCGGTTCCGGGTCCCTGGCCTCGGCCGTCTGTGACACCACCGCGGCGAACTCAGAAGCATCAGCAAGTGAGCCGCCTGTCTGCCCCAAACGACAGGAGGCCAAAGGGACCGCTCACTGCTTTAGCTGAAAATCTCTCTCGTTACTGTGAACTGTATTTTTAAAGAAATTCCCAGGTATGTTATTGTGATAAAGTGTCTGCTGTCGTTTCCTAGGCTGACTTAGTGGATGGGAGCTGCTGTCTCCTCCTGGGAGGGGCACCGAAGGCCCTCAGCCCACACGGCCACCTCTCGTGCCCCTGGGCAGTGCCCACTGCCCCGAGAGCATGGACGGTCGTCGGGTAAGCGGGGTGAGCCAGCACTGCACTGAGGACTTCACACGTGAGGTCACTGAAGGAGGGTAAGTACCCCATTTCACACCTGAGCAAACCGAGGCACAGGATGTGAGGCGACACACCCAAGGTCCCACATCTCCAGAGCGCGGGGTTGGGTTGGTAGCTCCTGGCCTGAGAACTATGCTCTCGACAACCTGCTTCCTCTCCAGAAGTCAAAGACATCAGATTAGCGTGTGTGCATTCTCTCCTAACGAACTGGCAAAGGCCAGGACCCACCTGCCCACGGCCGGAGAGCCTTGGGAAGCTGCCTGGGGCGGTGCTGGGCACTACACAGGAGGGCAGTGTTTGTCAGGATCACCTCCGCCTGTCACTCCTTCTGTGGCCCGTCGGCCCTAAACACAGACAGATATTTATCGCAGCTTATTTATAACGACTGAAACCAGACACAGCCAATGTGCCCTTGCCAGGACATGGCTAAACCAACTCTTCTAGTCAACGGATCATCACGCAGCCATTAAAATATTACTTCCACCAGCTGGTGTGGCTCAGTTGGTTGGGCATTGTCCCATGCACCGAAAGGTTGCTGGTTCAATTCCCAGTCAGGGCACATGCCTGAGTTGCAGGCTCAACCCCCACTAGGGGGCATGCAGGAGGCAGCCGATCCAAGTTCTCTCATGGCTGCTTCTACCCCTCCCTCTCCCTTCCTCTCTAAAAGAAAAAAAAACACACAATAAAATATATTAAAAAAAAACAAAACCATTACTTCCCATGGGTAACAACATGGAACATGATAATATAGGAAATGACCATTTTCCCATAGTATACGTGGGATATTGTAAGATACAATATGTAACCTGTAACAATGTTACATATAATTATATATATCATGGTATAACATTGCAACAAATAAAAACCAAAGTGCCCTGGCTGGTTTGGCTCAGCAGTTACAGCATCAGCTCCGCGGACTAAAGGGTCAAGGGTTCAATTCCGGTCAAGGGCACGTACCTGGGTTGCAGGTTCAATCCCCAGACCTGGTCCAGGTTGTGTGGAGGCAACTAATCGATGTGTTTCTCTCTCATCAATGCTTCTCTCTCCCTCTCCATTCCTCTCTAAAGCCAATCAAATCATACTAAAACGACAACAAAGTGGTGCAGACTCCCCAGGATGTGTGATCGTGGTGGCTGCGCTAAGCTCAGACTGTCCACACCCGTCTCCCCAGCTCACTGGGACAAGCAGCAGAGCACACTTGCTCTGAGCATCCCCAAGCCCCTCACCACCACCTCTTTCAGCTTCCTGCGTCAGCTTTCCCTGCCAACATTTAGTTCTGGCTTGACCAGTTTGAAATCCACGCGGCCCTGCCACCTAGTGGACGGTCTGGACCCAGGTTTGCCAACCCCCAGGGCCGTTCTTTCTGACTTAGGGTCACACGTCTGTCTCCCCTAAACCAGCTATGGCACCTGCTTTAGGACAACTTTGCCTCATCAGGTCTCATTTCTGGGACCCTGCAGGAAGGTTCTGGGAGGCTGTTGACTCCCTGGCACACCTGGGGCCTGGCCCAGGGGTGGGGGCGCAGCTCAGGCAGAGGTGTGATAACATCTCAGCTCCTAGAAAGAGCGAGTAGAACTAGTCTGCTTGGAGCACCTCCACACCCTCTACAGCTGCCCGCTGGGGGAGCCTGTCTCCACCTGAGCTCTGGCTTCTTGCAAGACAGAATCCCCAAGACAGGCCACTACTAGTTTTCTTGTCTCCAAACAGGTGAAAATGTAGGTACCAATACTTTCCTAACAAAAAGCCACATTATCTCCTGGCTGACAGTCACTCATACTGTCTAGAGATTCTGGGAGAAACGGCAGAGCCCTGGAGAGCACAGAGCCCTGTGCAGACCGTTCCTGGAGGGAGACCCAGGCGGGTCCAGTGTATGGACTTGATGGGGGCAGCATGGAACCTGGCGGCCAGACAGAGTAGAACTAACCTGGATGGAGAGCTGGGCCCTGGGGGGCAGGGCACACAGCCCATCTGAAGGCCTCCTGTGTGGCTGGATGAAAGGTACCCTCAGCGCTCTGGGACCCGGCACATGGCCGGGCAAGAAGCGCTTCCACATGGCAGCACGGAGGCCCAACGAGCTGTGTCCCAAGTGGTCCATCTGGGTAAGTCAGGCCGCTGGTCTGGCATGATGGCTGGCCCAGGGGACACATAGGGGTTCTGGTTCCTGGGGACAGGGCACTGAGTTCAAGGGCTGGTGCTCCAGCCCGAGAAGGACGGTCACCGCAGCTGGCTGAGTGGGGAAAGCAGGGGTCTGGTTCTGTCCAGAGGGTGCCCAGTTCCTGCAGAAGCACTGCTGTGTAGCTCAGGGCCACAGGCCCCCACCAGGCTGCATGGGGACAGGCTCAGGACCCAGTGGCCAAGAGTCTGCAGACAACATCCTCAAAGGAGCAGGTGGGCAGGCCGCCGCCAGAGTGGATGCCACAGCAGAGGTGGCAATGGGAGGTGCTGATCGAACAGCTTCCCGGCGCTCAGTGCTTCTTCCGGGGGTGCCGTTTCCGGTGGCGAATGAGACATGAGCTGTAGGCGAAGGTTTTCCCGCATTCCTTACACTCGTACGGCTTCTCTCCAGTGTGAGTTTTCTGATGTTTCAGGAGATTTGAGCCACAGTTAAAGGCTTTCCCACACTCACCGCATTTAAAGGGCTTCTCTCCCGTGTGGATTCTCTGGTGCTTGGTGACGTCAGAGCTGTGCCGAAAGGTCTTCCCACACTGATCACATTGGAAGGGCTTCTCTCCGGTGTGAACCCTCTGATGGCGGATGTGATCCGTCTTGTGCTTGAAAATGCGCCCACATTCACTGCACTCGTAGGGTTTCTTTCTCTGAAAAGGGATGAACACAGGAACCCCCTCGAAGTCATCTTTAAATGAAGCATCGAAGGCATCGAAGATGTGGGCTTCATCCTCAGGACTCAGGCCGGGCTCCTTACTGTGCTTTCTAGCCAGAGTGCCTCTCCTGCTGGGCCCTCTCCCCCCAGACACCTTCTCGTCCTTGGTAGTGTCCCTCTGCACCACCGTGTCCTCCTTTGGGCTCTGTGTCTTCTTTTTTTTGCCTGTAGGCTTTTCCATCTCTCTGTTCCCAGGAGAACAGGGGTCAGGGAAGCTTCCTGTAAGGGCCAAGGAGAAAGGCTGAGGCACAGTCCTCCGGCCTAACAAACTTCTCTATGTAACCACTTCTTCAGAGCTCTGGCTTCGGGCTCAGCTCTTTGCTTTTCTGAGCTTGCAATTAAAGCCCCAACCGAAGATCTGTAACAGAAGGAAGAGCAGCACCATGCCTCAGCGGCTGGAGAAGCAAGACCACTGGCACTGAATGAGCTCTGTAAAGACACGTGGGCTCTTTCTGCGCTGAGGGGCTGAGGGACTGAGGGGTGGGTGGGGGCATGTGGGAAGGGAAGGAGGGACGGGGCCCATGGGGACACAGCCCCTTTCCTCCCCTGCTCCTATACTACCACCTGGACATCTAACAAGTGTCCCAAACGGCACACGACCAAACAGAACACTCGATTTCCCCGGACCCTGAGACACTCACCCTGGCTGGTTTCCTCATTTCTGTAAACAGTGTCGGTATTTACTCAGTCGCTAAACAAGGAACCTTCTTCCTCTGCTGGGGGACAGGTCTCCACGCCAGTGTCAGGTACCATGGACCACTGCCTACTTTGTGGTCCCCAAACTCGAGTTTCTTGATCCTTCTCCACTTCCTGTATTTGGGACCGGACAACGTGCCTTTGGAGCCACAGGCAGAAGAAGCCGCCTGCCCCCTGCGGAAGGTACCACCCATCCCCTCAGGCCTGGATTCTACGCTGCAGGAAACTTGGGGCAGGCTCCCTCGGGGCTGCCCTTGCTCCAGCGGTCCCTTCATGGTCCATTCCACACTGCAGCTGGTGAACCCCATCATACCCTTGCCTAAACCCCCAGGAAACATTCTAGATCATCATCTGCCCAACTCAAGTTGGCAAATGGATTTACTTACTCTCTATATGCTGTGCACACCAAGGAATAAAATCATTGTTAAAATGGAGACCAGCCCCGTCGGTGTGGCTCAGTGCACTGAGCGTCGCCCCAGGGACTGCGAGGTCCCGGTGGGATTCCCTGTCAGGGCCCAGGCCGGGGTTTCGGGCTTGACCCCCAGTAGGGGGCGTGCAGCAGGGGGCAGACGTTGGATGACTCTCTTTCACATCGTTGTTTCTATCTCTCCCTTCCTCTCTCGCTAAAAAAATCGTTAAGAACATAACAAAAACCAACCAAACAAACAAACAAAAACTCGGAGACCGGAGGTCACCGTCTCAGTCCCGTCACGGGCAGGCCTGTGGGCACAAGGGGCCGCCACGGCGACAGAGCCCTCCGTCCACACCGCCAGAGCCGACGGGCGCGCCGGCCGAAGGCTGGGTGCTGCTACCTGCTGCGCAACCTCGGCGTCGCTCTTCTGCTCTCGGAACCCGCGGCTCTGGGCTCCCCGGAAACCTCGCTCACCCCCACTCCGCTGCCTGCAGGAGCCGGGGTCTCGGCGAGAGACCGCACCACCCGCGGGTGTGAGACGCAGGAGCAACCGCGCACCCGCCTGTGGCCTGGCCTGCAGCGGCCAGCGGCCGTGCTGAGGCCGACACGAGGGGCCCCGAGCCGGGCAGCGCCCCGCCAACCAGAGCCTCGCCGGCCGCGCCTGCAGGGCGCGGGGCGACGCCTCCCCCTCCAGCCGCGCGCAGCCTCGCTCTCCGCCCGCGGCGCCTGGAGCCCGAGGGGAAGCCGCCGCCCTGGGCCGGGGCCCCCGGAGAGACGCGGGGAGTCCCCCGACAAAAGTGGGGCGGCGAAGGCGCGCCACGCTCCCGGAGCCCGGCCGTATACCGGCCCCCGAGCCGGCCCTCTGGCTGCCCAGCGGAGCCGCGCCGCCTGCCGGAAGAGCCTGCACGGGCCACGCCTCTTCCGGTGCCGCTCTAGGACGCGGGGCTCGGGGCTCTCGGTGGTGCGCCGAGGGCTCCGCCCCCGAGCCGGCCCCTCCCACTCCCCGCAGGCCCCCAGCGCACCCCTGCGGGCTTCCCCCGGAGACCCGCTCCTCACCCCTGCGCCCCTCCTTCATTCTGTGTCCCTCCCGCACCCCTGCGCCCCGCTCCTCTCGGGCTCCCCTCTGGCTGGAATGATAACGCTGAGCAAGGCGGGACCACGAGTGGAGGCTTTTCCCACCGTATTCCATCCATGGCGCCCGCCCTCCCCATTCTCCGAGGCCGGGGACGCAGCCCTGGCCCCTTGGGCGTGCGCTTCTCGGGCGGCGCCTCCTCTGCCGCGGGAAGCCAGCGCCGGCCGGTGGAGCGCGCTGCCCCCGGGGACCGCCTCTGCCGTCGGGAGCCCTGTGGCGCACAGCCTGAGGTCGCGCCTCTGCCCCGGGAAGGTCCCGCTAGGACCTGGGCGCGCTGACCTGTCCTGGTCCATCGGCCCCTGCAGGCCCCTGTCACGGAGAGTGGGGGCACCACTGGGAAGCTCCGTCCTCAGGAATGTCCTGCTTTGGGTCACTGCCTCATCCTCACCCCATTCTCAGGGTTGAAAACAAGGGCAGGAAATGCGACTGCAGCCACCTGCTTCCTGTGCTATCAGAAAGAACTCCGGAGGAGCCAAGACTGGGTGGGGTGGGCTGAGGAAGGGTGGCAGGTGACCCAAGGGGGGCACACAGGACAAAGTGGATCTGGGTGGGGTGGGACGAGGGAAGGGAACCCAGAGTCTTTGGGGAAGACGGAAACTGCATGGGAGGGGTGCCTAAGGAGGGTCTGTTGCCCAGGAAGACCCCGGAGGCCACTGGCTCCAGCTGGCAGGTCATGTGGGGCCAGAAAAGAAGGGAACACAGTGTCCTCCCTGAGCTCACTCCCAGGACCAGGGCTGGGTGGGGAACACGGGCCCTAATATGGCCCCAGGGGCTGTTTTCAGGGTGGGGGTGGTGAGGCAGGGAAGGGACACTTCAGTTCTAAGGGCTCATTTATTTCCTCCTCATTGGGAGCGGTGGGGCTGGGGGGTGCTGAAGGCAACAGGGCCAGCCGGCTGACCCAGTGCCCAAAGAGGGACAGAGGGATGAAAGGGCATCTCCTCCGGAGAGAGCACAAGAGCCTGAGCCCTCGGCCACGGGCAGCCCCCGGGCCAGAGCTGGGACCTGAGCACAGAGAGGCTGACGGCTTGCCAAGATCACACAGCCAGGACGTGGCTGATTCAGACTCCAGGCCTGGCCAGCATCTCAGCCCTGGGCCCTTGTGGGCTCCTGTGGAGTCCTGGGGTCCCCAAGTCACACTGAGGAAGGATAAGAAGCCTCACCAACATCTGAGCTGCAGGGCAGAGCCGTTACCCAAAGCCACCAGGCTCCAGAAGTTTCCAGCATCAGCCTCTTGAGGGCTAAGCACCTGCAAGTGCCCTGGCTGAGGTGTGCTCTGGAAGGTCACCAGGGCCTGAGCCTGTCTCCTCTGCGCCCTCGGACAGGGGATGGTTAGAGCCAAGTGAGGAGTGAGGGCTTCGTTCTCTGCTTCCCAGCTGTGGGCAGGACCCCAGGACCCTGCAGAGGAGGCTGTCACCAAAGTAGGAGTCCCAGGCCAGGCAGCACCTGAGGCTTGGACAGCCTGCATCTCCCCTGAGGGCTTTGAGGGGGCTGGCTCCGGGGTGTAGCAGGTAGGTATGTGCACTCAGACCTCTGCAGGGGTGACGGGGGGATTTCTGTGAATGCAGGTGACAGTGCCCCGTATTTCTAAGGTGAGCTGGTAGGGCTAATGAGGTTTTTGATCACAAGGGTCTCCCAATCAACATGCACACAAGTGGCACCCAGGGTCACTGGATTCATAATGACAGCAATAGGCCCTGTTTGCTAAGCGCTTACTCTCGCTGTGGCCCTGCTGCGGGGCTCACCTACCCTCCCACCTGACAGACAAGGAAGCCACCTGGGGAGGTGAAGAGGTTCACCTGGAGTGTGAGCTGGAGGGTGGGGGCCTAACATTTGAACCCAGGGAGCGTGACCCTTGAGCTGTGAGTGTGTGTACATGCATGGGTGTGTGTGAGAGTGTGTGAAAATGCACGTGACAGAGAAGCGCAAACTGACGAGCTTCAGCAGGGCAGAAGTTCGTTTCCCTCCCAGCCTGGTAGAATGGGACGGTCTCCCCCAGGCATGTGGTGAGTGGCTGAGGCCTGACCTGAGGCCCATGTGCTGGCCACCCCACTGCGCACAAACAGTGGGAGAAGAGGGCAAACGGGGAAACTGAGGAAATGCAGATGGGCTGGGGGAGGCCAGTGCTGGCCTCCAAGTTTATTCTCCAAAGCTGGTGGGGGCTGGGGTCAGGAGAGGACGACTGGACAGGGTGCTGACCCCCCAGGGATGAGCCGGCGGGGAGGGGCCGACTCCATTCAGGACCCCATTGCCCCGAGGCCAAGGAGGAGACTGAGCAGGAGGGCAGCAGCCACAGTTTGGGGGCTGCCCTGGGGACCCCCTGCCCCACCGCCCTGCCAGGGTGGGATGTTGCACAAGGTGGTCTGGCAGCAGGTCACTGTCACCAGGGTCTCCTCTACGGTCCTGGTGCTGAATTTACACGTGTCTGCACACCACGCCGAGTAGGTCGTCAGAGGACCCGATTCTGGGGGGCAGTGGAGAAAGAATTGATCACACTGGACGTTGGGGAACAGGGACCAGGCCCCTCTGGGCAGTGTGCCTCGTGGGTGCCAGCGTGGCTACTCACCGGTGTCCCCTTGGGAGGTGAGGGTCTTGCAGAAAGGCTGGCTGAGGGGGCAGTGGCTGGTCTGGTGGCAGCGGTCCTCCCGGCGCAGGGACTGGCAGGAGTAGCACTGCAGCCCTGGGGACAGGCGGGCTCAGGCCGCACCATCCCCCAGCCCCGAGCACACCTGGTCCAGCCTCTCCCTCCAGGCCCCTCAACACTCCCACCTGTGTCTCACTTAGAGCCGCCAAGCCTCCCTGGGCCCTCCTGCTGACTGGCCAGCGGCCCACCCGGGCAAGGACCTGGGGCGCGTGAGCCCATGGGGGATGCGGGGCGGGGTCTGGTGTAAGGACAGACATGCTGGGGGGGTGCTGGGAGCCCAGGCCATGCAGGTTGGATGCTGGGGATGCCCTGGGCTTTATCCTTTCAGGCTGGACAGAGCAGGGGTGCCCCCAGCCATTCAGGGTGGTGTGTCAGGTTGGGGGGCGGAGTGGGTCTCACCTCTGACTCCATGCTCTGTTCTAAGCCTTAGGCTCTCTGTTCCCTGCAGAAGCCTATCCAAGCCCTGGTCCCAGGGTTGTCCCACCTTCCCCCCTCACCCTACCTACAAGCAACCTCTCTTGTCTTACTGACTGGACTCAACGCCCAGGGCCTCTCCATCCTGGGCTCCGCTGCGCCCCTCTGCTTGGTGAACTGTTCAACCTCCACCCCAGCACCATCACCCTCCCCGTGGTGGCTCCTCTGGGCTCTCTGCTCTGGCTGGCAGTTGAGGGTCATGGTCAGGCAGGGTCACAGGCAGCCTTCATTAGCCCGTCTGTCCACATCACTCCCGCCCACACCGCCTGGAGCTCAGGGGCACCCAAAAGAAGGGCAGAGAGAGAAGCGTGTGCCCGTGGGGTTAGTGGACATGTACCTCTGTCCCTGCTGCCTGCCATCCTGCCGGCCTCCTCGTCCTCCTCGTCCTCCTCGTCCTCGTCTTCATAGTCCTCCTGCCCAGTGTCCTCACCGTCGTCCAGCTCGTCCCACGCCTGTCCTCTCCCTGGCTGCGCAGGGACACCTGTAAACCTCCAGGACTTGGGTACAGAGACACATGCTCGGGGCCGGTGTGGCACCCCCACCCCAGATCTGTCCTTTCCTCCGCCATCTCCGCAGCAGGTGAGGTCTCTGGTTCTCCACTTGCCCTGTCCCTGTGCAGCTGGCACTATCCTCAACGCCAGCTGCTGGGGCTAGCCCTTTCCAGCAGCCCCGCCCCCACCCTCAGGATGGCTTGCCCATTGTACAGAAAAGGAAACTGAGGCCGGGAGAGGAGAGGGAAACCCAAAACTTGCATTTCAGAGAGGCTGAGCCTGGGGCTGAGAAGAGGGGAGCCCATGCCCCCAGGGACTGACTGGGGCTGGGAAGGTTTGGAGACTGGTGAGAGCCCAGGACACCCCGCGTCCACCTCCCTCTGGCCTCGGATTCCAGCCTCATGCCCTTTCTTCCCAAGCCCTGTCTTGTCCCCAGGCTGGAGGTCCCCAGAGGCCCGGACCACGCGGCATGCCTTGCTGCAGGGTCGCCCCTCGCCCGAGTACCTGGCTGTCTGCACAACAGCAGGGCCAGCAGGACAGTGGCGAGTGTCTTCATCCTCGGGGCCGTGGTCTGTGCTCTGTCCTGCTGGGGCCCTGGGTCCGTGGGAAGTGTGACAAAGAGCATTGCTGGGGGCTTCCTGGAGGCCTCTGGGCCCTGCCCCACCCCCCACCCCAGCTCCAGTCGCAAACAATTGGACAGTTTCCCTCCAGGACCCCAGGGATCCAGGGAAAGGGAAGTCCTCGTGTTTGGCCTTGGGGAGTCCTGACATCTGTGCAGCTCTGCCCTGGCCTGGCTCGCTGGCCTTGGTGCCTCAGCCCTGCAGTGCAGCCTGTGAGCCTGGCCCCGGCTGGGGCAGCCTCTGCCCACCCCTTGCCCTGTGTCTGGACGCCATGCGGTCTGGGCCTGGGCCCTCCAGCCGCAGACTGGTGACCAGGCCCTTTCGACTTTGAGTCAGCTCACTGACATCCCATGGACTCCTGAAGAGCATATAATTTTTTTTTAGAGAGAGAGAGAAGAAGGGAGAGAGAAACATAGAAACATTGATCTGCTGCCCCCTGCACGCCCCCTACTGGGGATCAAGCTCACAACTAGGCATGTGCCCTGACAGGAATCCAACCGGGACCTCTCAGTCCATGGAAAGACGCTCAATCCACTGAGCCACACCGACCAGAGCTGAAGAGTATTTTTAAAAAAGACACAATAAAGGTCCGCCCACTGCGGCCCACCCTGCCCCTTCCCATGGCTCACCCACTGCCTGGAGTTTTGTCCCTCACCTGCTCAGCTGTCACCTCCTCAGAGAGGGCCTTCCCACCACCACCCACTCCACACCCTGCTCTCCCCTGCCCTCCAGGGCCCCTGCCAGGGAGCTGTCAGAGCCGGCCGTCTGGGAGAGCCTCCCTCCCTCTGGGCACCCGTGACTCTTGACGGACGGTGGGAGAGGCCTGGGCTGCTCCCTCTCTCTGCCTCCTGAATTTCCCCCTCTAAATTTGGCTCAGCGGTCAGAGCATCGGCCCACGGACCAGAAAGCCCCGGGTTCAGTTTCCTCTAAGGGCATGTGCCTTGGTTGCAGTTTGTTTCCTGCCCCGGTTGGGGTCGTGTGGGGTGGCGACCACTCAATGTGTCTCTTCCTCCCTCTCTCCCTCCTGCTCTATCTGAAGATACATGCAAAAATGTCCTCCGGTGAGGATAGAAAATTTTTTAAAAAGTTGTGGTAAAATGTACATAACATAAAATCTGCCATCTTTACCAATTTCACATGTCCAGGTCAGTGGCAAAGCACAGTCACACTGTCCTAACACCATCACCACCATCGTCTCCAGGGCTTTGTCATCTCTGCACACTGAAACTGTCGCATTGAACACTGACCCCCGCCCCTCCCCCAGCCCGTCTCTGAACCCGACTACTCCAGGGACCTTCCATACGAGAAAGCAGAGGGGCTCATCCCTTCGGGACTGGCTCCTTTCCCTGAGCATCATGTCCGCAAGGCTCACCGTGTGGTGATGTCAGAACTTCCCTCCGTTACAAGGCTGGACAAGACTGTTCCACGGCTTGGCCAGGCCACATTTTCATTTCTTTATTTGTATATATTTTTTATCATCCTCACCCGAGGACATTTTTGCATTTATCTTCAGATAGAGCCTGAGGGAGAGAGGGAGGGAGAGAGAGATAAAAACATCGATGTGAGAGAGACTCATCCAGTGGCTGCCACCCACATGACCCCAACCGGGGCGGGGGTACATGCCCTTAGCAGGAACCGAACCCGAGACTCTCTGGTCCACAGGCCGACGCTCTAACAGCTGAGCCAAACTGGCCAGGGCTGGGCCACATTCTTCTATCCATCCATCAGCCAATGGGCACTGTGGCTGCTGTGAACACGGGTGTGCAAGGAGCTCATCGGCCCCTGCTCTGGTCTCTGGGTGGGGACCCAGGGAACTTGCCGGGATCGCACAGCGAGTCCACGTCAGGTTTTGGACCAGGTCCTCTCCTCCTGCGTGTAAACAAAGTCGAGAGTCCCACTAAAAAAATTAAAAGAAACTCTTGAAAAGCCCCCCTTTCCTTAGTTTTCTACCAAAACATCCTCCCCATTTCCTTCCTTGTGGCACATGTCCCTGTGCCAGGAGCCAGGCTCCCCTCCCCTGGCGACCCATCTCCCCGCCACCAGCCCTGGGCTTCGCATGTGGAAACTCAGGTCAGAGCGCCCAAGGACTGGCCTGAGCTCCACCTCCTGCCCGCCCACTGGCACCACCCTCTATCACCCCTTCACTCAGGGGTGCCCAGGTGGGCCCCCAGCTGTCTGGGGCACAACAAAGGCATATCCCACATGTCTTCAACTGACAGTTAAAAAAACCTCAGAGTGACTGTGGGGATCTGCGCAGCCACGGAGAGGAAGGAAGTGGCTCGTGTCCTGAGCCAGAAAAACACTCCGTGGGTGAAGCTGGCACTGGAGAGTGTGCTTGTGCTAGTCTGTGTGGAAAGGGGGGAAGCAGGCTCCACGTGGGGATCTGGCGCTGTGTGCAGCGCGCCGTCTCCTGCTCAGGTCTGCGGCCTCCTGGCTGCCCACCAGGCCCCTTCTCCGGAGATGGCAGGACATTTGGGCTGTCCACCTCGAGCCACACTGTCCTGTCCTCAGCTGTGTGACAGGCAGCACTGGTGGGTGGCTGGAGGCGGGCCGCTGGGCAGCACCTTGCAAGTCCCAACCCCGGGCTGGGGTCTCGGCCTGGATCCAGCTGCAGCCCTGGGCCGGTGAGGCTCAAAGGAGACTCTACCTCCGGCCCCACAGGTCCTGCCTCTGAGCTGGACAGACCCTTCTGCTGACACCCTAGGTGCCATCTCTCAGCCTGCTGGGATCGGTGCAACGCAATGAAACTACAAGCACACGCTGCTTGGAGTGAGGGGAGCTTTGCAAGGTAGCAAATGTCCCAGATCTCTGGATGCAGTCCCATTTATTTGCAAATCGGTACCCCTAGGTCGCAAGTGGACTTAAGTAAAGCATTTCCTTGTATGGCATTACTGCATACTCCCTAGCTTTGTCTCTTGCTTTTTAAGAGAAGAGACCTTGAAGCCAAACGATAAAACAAACCCTTATTACATGCAAATGAAGCACCCAATACACCTGGGTGGGCCAGGCTTGCTCCCCCCTTTCCTGCGGCTAGGATTCCGAGAATGCATGAACACAAGGTTGAGAGTGCTTAACACAAGGTTAAAAAACGTCCATCTTCCAACTCCCCAACCCCACACCTAGGCCCTGTTCTCTTTCTCCAGCACAATCCAGGTGGCTGGTCCTTCCATGCCCCGCACCCTGACCCTCAGCTTGTGGGTCTCCCCGCTGAGCTGGGGAGAACTGTTGCCCCCCTCTCTCTCCAAGCAGGCTGGAGCCCCCTGAGGGCAGCCTGGCCTTGTCCACGGCTGCGTCCCCACTGGCCACTGGAGAGAACGGGAGGTACGGGAGAGAACGCAGCCTTAGGGTGGCCACACTGGTCCAGCAGGTCAGCGAGGCGGAAGCGTGCCGACGGGCAGACAGGCTGCTCAGTCGGTGGAAGCATGTCTGGAGTTCTAGGATGTTAAAGCTGGTGGACCTCATGGGGGAGAGAGTCCCAGCGCCTCCTTTCATGGCGAGATTTGGTGCCTGTAAGGAATCGGGGGCGCCGCCAAATAAAACAGAGAAGAGACTGGAGAGCCAATCAGCCGAATCAACAGGGATCAGGCTTTATTGGGTACACTCCGGGCGGGTTCACAGACTCCGGGGGTCGAGTCCTAGAAGCCGCGCTCAATGTAGGGGCTCGTGTCTTTTATATCTGCCTGTTGCAGCTGGAATTTGTCCCTTAGGGTTTGGCCCTGCGGGGCTATGCATGGAGCCTCTGGAATGTGAATCTATAAGAGCAAGATGGGAGTTAATCTATAGCCTAGAGGCAGGCCGTTCAGGGTGGGAGACAAGGCTGAGCAAGGAGACAATGGTCGAGCACTTTGCCTGGCGCCAGTCCCCCAGGCCATCGGACAGTGCCCAGGTGAGGAGCGCCCGGCTCAGAGGTGCCCTTGACCCAGCCCCAGATGCCCAGGCCAGCAATGATATTTTTCCAGTTCTTAAACTTAAAACAAAACATAAAAACCACATTTCTTTTTTTAGAGCAGTTTGACATTCCCAGCAAAACTAAGAGGAAGGTACAGATACTTCCTGTATACCAGCCGCTGGCAGAGCCTGCCTGAGTGATACGTTTGTTAGAACCGATGAGTCTGCACCGACACATTGTAACGACCCAGAGCCCACAGCTTACATCAGGCTCCTGGTGGTAAACGCTCTGTGGGTTCCGACCAACGTATAAAGACATGTACCCCCAACTGCCTTCTTGGATCTCAGGAGACGCCTTGCCCCGGTGTCCCTCACCACCCACTCTCTCCTCGCCATCCCCGCTTCTCTTCCTGGTGAACAGCACCCCCAGCCCCACCCCAACCCTTTTCTGCAGCCCCAGGAACATTATAGACCCAGCCGCCTGGCCTCAAACCTCTGAGGGTTGAGGGTAATGGCCCTGTAACCCTCCCAGCAGGCCAGGCTGTGATCAGCTCCTTCCCTTGCTCCCTCCTGCGGTCTAGCAGTCTCTTTATGCCTCTTCTCACTTGTTCTGCCCTCAGATGCCACCCTGGGCCATCCCATCCGAAGAGATGCTCCTCGCCAGTGCCGACCCCTCCCCCACCAGCCCCTCCTCAGCCCCTCCTGGTATGCCCGTTGCCATGGAGAAGGTTCCTCTGCTACCCGCAGACACCAGTCCTGTTCCTCCTCCCTTTTCTTCTCCAAAACTTTCTTCCCTGGCCCTGGCCGGTGTGGCTCAGCGGTTGGAGCGTGGACCTGCGGTACAGAGAGACCCGGGTTCGGTTGCCGCTAAGGGCACGTACCTTGGTTGCAGTTTGTCCCTGGCCCTGGTTGGTCGTGTGGGTGGCAGCCACTTGATGTGTCCCTTCACTTCGATGTTTCTCTCTCTCTCTCTTCCTCTCTCTCCCTCTCTCTCCCTCCCGCTCTATCTGAACAAAAAATGGAAGAATGTCCTCGGGTGAGGATAAAAAAGAAAAAAACAAAAAAACAAAAAACTTTCTTCCCTGGGCACCTGCTCCCTGGCCTCACACGCCCTTCTCTGCAGTGTGTACACAGGCGCCAGCCGCTGGGGGGTTCTTCCTGCCCACGTCCCACTTCCTGCCTGTTCTGGGGTGTCTTTTCCCCTCTCTCCTACCTGCTCCTCTCCCTGCAACAAATCACAAACTTGGTGGCTTAAAGCGACAAAAAAGCTCTCAGGGAGAGTCCTTCCTGCCCTTCCTGGTGGCTCCAGGTGGTCCTCAGCTGTGGCTACTCCGCTCCAGTCTCTGTCTAAGGACACCAGGAGGGCTTCACCTCCAGATGTTTCAGTTAATCCCATCCACAAAGACCCTTTTTCCAAATAAGGTCACAATCACAGGTCTGGGGTTAGGATTTGGACATCTTTTTTTTTTTTATCCTCACCCGAAGACATTTTTAAATATTTCGTTCAGATAGAGTGGGAGGGAGGGAGAGAGAGAAACATCCACATGAAAGGGACACATCGAGTGGTCACCACCCACACGACCCAACCAGGGCCGGGGAAAAACTGCAACCAAGGTACATGCCCTTAGCGGGAACCGAACCAGGGTCTCTCCAGACTGCAGGCCAACGCTCTAACCGCTGAGCCAAATCGGCCAGGGTTGGACATCCTTTTGGAGGCCACCATTCAGCCCAGCACAAGCCCTGTCCCCTCCCTATTCTGGGGGCCCCTGGAGGTCAGGGATGGCTTCCATCTCAGAGTTCAGCAGCACTTTAAGACACGCCATGTGAATTACAGAGCGTTGACCCTTGGCTGGCCCGCTCAGTGAGGCCAGGCAGGTGCCTTTTGAGAACGACCCCTCTCTGTAACACAGCCAGTGGCCACATCCACACTTGCCAAGGCCTGAAGGGAGTCTGATGGTGTCACTGAAATATCAGGTAGGAAGCTCAGCTGCACACCTTTCAACCCCGCCCCTTTCCCCCGCTAGGGCCTGACCCGGAGGCTAGTTCCCTCCGCTTCTGAGCTGACCAATGGCTGGAGACCGGTGGCCTCTGACACTGTCCCTGGCTCTGACCACCTGGGAGGTGGCTGTGCTGTGGACACGCTCGCCCATCATCCTTGACCCTGAGCACAACTTCAGACATGGGCCACAGCCATATAGTTGCCCCAGGCTGCAGGGAACTTCCAGTGTCACCTAGCAGGGCAAGATCCCACTGCCTTCTCCCCGGGATCTGGGCATCTGGACCAGGACAGGTCGGGAAGACGGAGGACAGGTTGGGAAGAAGGAGGTCAAGGCCAGCTGTCACCAGCTCCCTGCAGGAACTGTCCAGACGGAAGGGGCCACATGGTGACTTGTTCTGCTCTTATGACCTTAAAGAAAGCCCCCTCCCCTTTTTTTGCTAATCATGGGGGATTGTTATTCTTGTTTGCAAAATCCTGATAGGGTGAAACTGACCCACGTGAATTGGGAGGAAGGCAGAGTAACTTGGTAACCAGGATAGGAATCTCTGTTTCCCTGGCAACCAAGCCCAGCGTGGGAGAGCTCAGGTCTCTGTTCTCTGGGGAGCAGGCCCAGAGCTTTGTTCCGCAAGTGCTGATCCCAACTCCTTGGACACGACTCTTTGGACACTGGGCTTCTGCCCTCACTACCCCCATCATGCCCATGCCAGGCCCCACCCACCTGTATTATCTTTTGCTGCATAACAAATTACCCCAAAGTGTAGGGACTTAAAACGACACCATTTATGGCCTCACAGTGTCTTGGACAAAGAAAAGAGAACTTGGGAATGGCTTCAAGGTCAGTGATCAAGGTTATCTGCAGAAATGGGAATGGAAAGGGTTAAGGCCGTGGACGGACACCATTGACTTACATTTAAAAAGATCCTTGTGGTATATATATCTTTAATCTCTCTCTCATACACACACACACACACACACACACACACACATGAATTGTCTCGTGTAATTATGGAGGTTGGCAAGTCCACAATCTGCAGATCTGCAGGGTGGGCCAGCAGGCAGGAGAGTCAGGAACAGCCAATGTTTCAGTTCAAGTTCAAAGGCCATTTGCTGGCAGAATTCCCTCTTGCTCAGGGGAGGTCAGTCTTTGGTTCCATTCAGGCCTTCAACTAATTGAGTGAGGCCCACCAACACCATGGAGGGCAATCTGCTTCACTGAAAGTCCACTGATGTAAATGTTACTTTCAGTTACCCCCACCACCACCACTGAGTACTTTAAAGATACCGTTTCACTGTGTTTTGGCTTTCATTGTTGCTATTGAAATTCTGCTGTAAGTCTAGCAGCTATTTCTTTAGAGTTGATCTTCCTTCCTTTTTGGCTGATTTAAAGATCTTTTATCTTTGGTGGCTTGTAATTACACTATGTTGTACCTAGGTGTGAATTTTTTGTTTGTTTATTCTATTTAGTATACATTGTGCTTCTCTATAAATACTTATCTTTCATGAGTTCTGGAATATTCTCAGGCATAATATTTTCAAATATTGACTCTCTGTCTTTTGGGACTTCATCCAGACTTACTAGCTCTTGCCACACTATCTTTTATATCTTAACTTCTCTTTTTTATTTTCCATCTCTTTATCCCTTGTGCTATATTCTTACTAATGTCTTCAGATTTATATTCCAGTTCACAAATTCCCTCTTTGACTGTATCTAATTTGATTCCTAACACATTTGCTGAGTGTTTTTTACAGCCAGTTTATTGAAATATAATCCACATACTGTAAAACTCACCCGTTTAAAGTATTCAATTCAGTGGTTTTTAGCCTATTCACAGACTTGTGCAACCATCACCATACCTACTTTAGACATGTTCATCACTGGAAAAGAAACCAGTAGCAGAAACTACCTATTCTTTCCTTCTCCCCAGGCAACCACTAACCTACTTTCTGTCTCTTTTGGATTTTTCTATCCTGGACATTTCATATAAAGGAAATCACATGCTTCTTAATGACTGTTATCTTCACTTAGCATAATTCTTGCAAAGTTTCTGCTGACCTTTTCATTTCAAAGAAAAGTTTTTCATTCCTCGAGGTTCTGTTTGTTTTCGGGTGAGCACGGTCAGTTTTGATAAGTGTTCCTTTAAAATAGCGTAACCCTGTAAAACAAATGGATTTTATCTCCTCTCTGTGATACCTTTAATTTAGAAAGTTTGTGGGAGTGTAACTGTCACTCGTCACTATTTCTGCGGCGTCTCACTTTGAAGGCTTATTTCCTTTGGATGTTTGCTGAGTTTTGACTCTGCACTTGTCTGTCTGCTCCTTGGCCTTCATCCTTCCGGAGCAGCAGCGGGTGGTGAGGTGCACAGGCTCTGGAGCCAAGTGCTTAGCTTCTGACGCCAGCTGTGTCACTAATCACTGTGTCACTGTGGGACCTTGGGCAGGGTTTTCTCACCTGCCAGTAGGGGTGCTGTGAGGCTATGATGAGCTATATATCAAGGGTTTAGAGCACATAGTATGTGCTCAATGAACGCTGTGCTTTGCCCGTCTCACAACAACATATTAGTGATAATCATTTGTCTAGTGTAAGATTCAGGGTAGCAGAAACCTTCTTCTCTTCTTGTTGTGGGGCCCTAGGGCGGCGCTCGGCCAACAGTACCTAGTCCATAATGATAAATGAGGGCAGGACGAAGGAACGACCCCCCACATTTGCACCGTAGCTGTGGCTTATCCAGGGCCAGCAGAGACGGAGTCCAGGCCCAGGGGACGCAGGTGCAGAGGCAGAGCGTGTCAAAAGCTTTGTGGGGCGGGAAGGTGAGAGACAACGCTGACACCGCAGCCCACAGGCAGACGGCCTCGATGTCCTGCTCAGGATGTGAAACTTGCCCTTCGTGTGTGTGTGTGTGTGTGTGTGTGTGTGTGTGGTTGGACTCGGGGCTGCTGCGTCAGGTGTGCTCAGGGGAGAACAGCCCCGAACCATCTTTTGGAACCCAGGATCTGGCTGGGGAGGGGAGGGGCCCCAGGGCTGCGAGTCTGTGAACTGTACACACACAGAACCTGCACCAGCACCTTCGCTCGTTACCTCCCTCCCTCTCTGCGTCTTTGTGCGTTTTGCTTCCTTTGGCAATAAACGTTCTTCCGAGAAATTCTAAGGGGATCTCAGCCAAGCAGAGGGGGAAGGGATCCTGCCCACGCCGGGGAAGGGGTAAGTGGAGGCGGTGGAGGGAGCTGGAACTGGAGAGGGCGGGCGCGCGGGGGCGAGGCAGCGCCCGCTGGCTTTGGGCACAGGACGGCCCTGGACAGCGACCGGGATCGGACCCTAGAGCCCCCAGCGCCCCCGCTGAGAATCTCCCGCCGCCCCCGCCCCTCGCGCCCCCGCCCCAGCGCCGCCCCGCCCCTCGCGCGGGGTCCGCGTCTGCGGCTGCGTTCCCCGAAAGACGAGGCTGCGCCCGGGTTCCGGTCCGCAGGGAGACCGAAGGACACCGCTCCCCGCGCCGCCCGTGCTGCCCGGAGCATCGGAGTGCGGACACCCCAGGGATGTGAGTGCGCCCCCCCCAACCCGTGGCCTGCGCTCCACGCTCCGATCCGCGGTGACCGCTGAAGCGTGCGACGGGAGGGGGCTCAGCGCGGGGTTCCCGGCCCCCCAGCCCAGGGGTGGGGGTGGGGACATGGAGTGCGCCCCTCCCCCTATCGGCAGGTACAGTTGGCTCGCACCTTGCCCTGCCCTTTGCTCTCCGGACGCACCTACGACTCCCTAGGGAGGAGAAGACGCGCCCCCGATACCACCCCCATCCCACAGGTGCTGGGCACGGGGTGGTGCATCTCGGCTGGTCGCCTCGTCCAGAGGGCAGACCTGTTCTCGCTGGAGAGGCTGCTGTGGCGGTGGGCGCTCTGGGGGATGGGCTGGGGGTGGGGCGCCGCGAGCTCCAGGGCGACCCGGCGGCGGATCCCCGGCAGGAGGCTGCGTTTGGAGACCAGCAGAGGAGAGGGTTCTTCGGGCCGGCCAGGGGCTGTGTCTGCTGACCGAAGCTTCTCCCCGCCAGGCCCGCGCCCCAGAGGACCCCCGCCCGCAGTCCCCGCGTCTTCGCGAGGCCCGCCCGGAGCATGCTGCCTGCAGCCATGAAGGGCCTCGGCCTGGTGCTGCTGGCCGCCCTGCTGTGCTCCGCACCGGGTGAGTCTGGGGGCAGCCCCCGGGGTGGTCCAGGTCGCCGGGACAGCCGGGCTGCAGCACCATCCTCTATCCTCCTCAGTGGTGCCCATCAAGCCCCACCCCCTCTGGGCCCTGCGACCCCAGCCCAGCCCTCACCCATGTGGCCCTTGATGGCGCTGCTCCACCTCCAGCACAGGGTCCCGCGCCCCCTGGGGGCTCCCAGCGATCCTCCCCTGGGCTTTGCAGGCTGGTCCCGCATGGACCCCTCGCTCAGTGCAGGGGGTCTGGCTCCTCACCTCAGAGCCCCATCTGGATGCCCGTCAAGTCCTCTTTGGCCCTTGGAAGCTTAGAGCCAACTGAACTCTGGGAGGGGGCGAGTTTTGTGTGAGGGGTGGGAGTGTGCCTGAGGGCAGCATGGGTGTGGGGGTGTAGGTGCACATGCACGGGGAGGGGAGGGCATAGGGGCTTCCAGAGTCCCAGTGGCCGGATCCTCCCCGTAAACTGTTCGAAAGCGACACAGGTTCTTCCAGGACCTGCCCTCCAGGTGCCAGTCTGACCTGGTCACTGCTGGCCAGCGGGCGCCTGCCCTCTCAGAGCCACACAGTTCTCCCGGAGTGCCTGCGGCCGGCAGGTGGGGAGGGTGCAGGGGCGGCCGGACTGGCCTCAGTTCCTCTGGTCATCCTCCTCCTCGGGCCTGCCCAGCTCATGGCCTGCGGTGCCAGGACTGCACCCTGACCACCAACTCCAGCCACTGCACCGCGAAGCAGTGCCAGCCGTCTGACACGGTGTGTGCCAGCGTCCGCATCACCGACCCCAGCAGCAGTAAGCCAGGCCCAGGCCCCAGTGGGAGAGCTGGGGTGGTCTGAGCCCTCTGGCCTGCTGAGCGACAGCGGGGGTGCCGGCCGGCCCCTCCGTGGTCCTTTCCATGTCACCGGGGGACCCGGGGGTGGGTGGAGAGCCTCGGCTCTGCTGTTCTGGGGTCCTGGGCCGGGTCCTGGGCCCCCATTCCAGGTTCCTCCTCCTCTTCCCCAGGCAGGAAGGACCATTCGGTGAACAGAATGTGTGCCTCATCCTGTGACTTCGTTAAGCGTCACTTTTTCTCAGATTATCTGATGGGCTTCATTAACTCTGGGATCTTAAAAGTAGACGTGGACTGCTGCGAGAAGGATCTGTGCAACAGGGCATCTGGGGCGGGGGGCAGCCCCTGGGCCCTGGCTGGGGGCCTCCTGCTCAGCCTGGGGCCCACCCTCCTCCGGGCTGGGCCCTGAGGTCCCCTCCCTCCTAAAGGGCTTCTGAGCTTGTTTTCTGGGGCCTGTGGCTGCCCCCTCCTCAGCCTGGCTTGGCTGGGGCTGGGGCAGCCTAGGCCTGGCCCCACCCCATCTCTCCACCAGCTCTGAGTCCCAGCCATCAGGACATCTCCAGGACACTGGCGTCTGTCGGGTGGGCAGGAGGGCTGGGAGTGAGGTCAGGGGGCTGGGACCTCTAGGTCTCTGAGGGGAAGCCGTGCTGAGCCAGGCCCAGCTCAGCAGCCCCGCTGTGAGTGTCTTCTACAAAAATAAAGTACTTCTGAGTCTGGACACCTGGGTCTGGGCTTGGCTGTGGGGGCGGGGCTACCAGCAGAGAGCGGGGCTGAGGGGCTGAGGAAGAACAGGTGGGCTGTGGGTGCTGGGCTGTCTGGGGGACTGTGGGACTGGTGAGGTTTAGGAGCAAGGGGGTGGGGGAGGGTTAGAGCTGAGATGAACAAGGTCACAGGGTGGGCCTGACGGTGAAACCTCATGACCGTGAGTGCGCACTGGACACCAGCCTTGCACAGACGCGTAGACTCACCCCAGCACACCAAGTACAGTGGTGTGCACACAAATATAGTAGTGTACACACACGCAAATGCAGTAATTAGTGTGCACACACAAATACAGCAGTACATATACACAAATACAGTGCTGTGCACACAGCCCCTGAGACACCCGCATCCACACCCATGCTCACGTGTTCACATGCTTACTCTCACAGGCGAACTGTTCAGATTCCCAGCCACCCCATGTGGGTGCCACTGTGGGCAGTGTCCTGAAGGCCAGTCCCCTGAGCAGGGGCTGAGGAGCCCACCCCCTGTGTGGGATGGCACAGGCAGACTGGGCACTTCAGGTGGGAGGAGGCAGGGGAGGACCCCTGGAGGTAAGTCTTAGGGTGCCACTTATCCTGGACCTTTCTGCTCCAGCCCTGGGCCTGTGGTCCCATCCCTGCACCCAAGCCCAGCCCAGCCTTCTGCATCCACTGGCCACGTGGCTCATCTTGTGGTCCAGCTTACCACGTAACACTCGGCGGCCACGCCAGGCTTCCTCTGGGATCAGGTCCTTGACCAGTTCTTCCTCGTCCCCGTGTAGCTGACCCAGGCCCTGGTCACTTCTGAGTCGGGCTCCTTGGAAAAGACAATGGTTCCACTGTGAGCCATGGAGAGGGGTCTGGGGGTCCAGGGTGAGTGAAGCAGAGGAGAGTAAGGTCACTGGAGACTGGTGTCAACTTCCTGCTGTTGGAAATGGCCGAGGACTTGGCCGGGTTGTCCGCCCCGTCTGCAGTCGGCTCCAATGCTCTGTCCGCCGCGTGCCCCCTCCGCCCTCGGAACCTCAGTCAAGTGTGCTGCCCACCGCTTGTGTCTGGTGCTTGGGGACTGCAGGGACAGCGCTGCTGGCGGTGACCTGGGCACTCCAATGCTGTGAGAGTGGGGGACACAGACCTGGCAGCGTGGAAGTGGGAGCTGAGCTGGCGCACCCCACCCTCACTAGCGGTGGATGTGCTCCAAGTCTAGCAATGTTGGCCAGTCTGCTAGACAAAAACTAGAATCTTACCAAATTGCCATTTAAAAAATTACTAGTGAGCTCTGGCCAGTTTGGCTCAGCGGTTAGAGCGTCGGCCTGCGGTCCGGAGAGACCCGGGTTCGGTTCCCGCTAAGGGCACGTACTTCGGTTGCAGTTTGTCCCCGGCCCTGGTTGGTCGTGCGGGTGGCAACCACTCGATGTGTCCCTTCACGTCGATGTTTCTCTCTCTCTCTCCCTTCCTCTCTCTCCCTCCCACTCTATCTGTACAAAAAATGGAAAAATGTCCTCGGGTGAGGATAAAAAAAAAAAAAAAAATTACTAGTGAGCCTGGCTGGTGTGGCTCAGTGGTTGAGTGTCTACCCTGCACCAAGAGGTCGCCGGTTCAATTCCCGGTCAGGGCCCAGGCCCAGGTTGTGGGCCAGATCCCCAGTGGGAGGCGTGCAGGAGGCAGCCCATCGATGTTCTCTCTCTCATCAATGTTGCTATCTCTCTCCTTTTCCCTTCCTCTCTAAAAATCAATAAAGAAAAGAAATTTTTTTAATTAAAAAATTATTCGTGAGCTTGCCCATGTTGTGTGTCTGTCAGCTACTGCATCTCGTCTGCAGCAGCCCAGTCTCCTCAGCTCATCCTTCCGTTGTGGGGTTCCCCTTTTCTTACTGAGCTATAGACCTTGCTGTATGTTAGGGGCACAGTCTTTCCCATGGTGTGTGCTTTGCAAATATTCCCATGTGTCTTTGTTTCGGTGTCTTCTCTGTATGTACACGCATGTTCTCCAGTTCCACGTGGCAGAATCTAACTGTTCTTTCCTAGTTTCTGGGTGTCAAATCTTCGGAGAAACACCTCTGCCCTTATGAAAGTAGTCTCTATTTTCTTCTAAGATTGTTACAAAGGTGGTGAGTACATTCGGACATCCAGTCCACCTGGAGTTTATGATGTGGCAGGAAGCAGAGACTTCTTCCAAAGAAATGGCCGATTTTTCTTTGTGTAAGCAGTCATTTCCCCATTGGCTTAAAGTGCCACCGTGATCCTAGCATGTACTCCCTCGAGGGTCTGCATGTTTCTGACCTGCAGCCTGTTGGAATCCCACGCGCACTTTGCCACCGGGTTCCTGCCGTTTTGATTCTGGTTGAGTCAGCAGGTTCAACAACTGTTAGGCAAGTGCCCCTCCTTGCTCTTCTTTTTTTTTTATCCTCACCCGAGGACATTTTTCCATTTTTTTTTTTTTTATTCAGGTAGAGTGGGAGGGAGAGAGAGGAACAGAGAGAGAGAGAGAAACATCGACGTGAAGGGACACATCGAGTGGCTGCCACCCGCACGACCGACCAGGGCCGGGGACAAACTGCAACCGAGGTACGTGCCCTTAGTGGGAACCGAACCCGGGTCTCTCAGGACCGCAGGCCGACGCTCTAACCGCTGAGCCAAACTGGCCAGGGCTGCTCTTCTTTTTAAAAGCTTCTTGCTACTTCTCACAATTCATTCTTACAGATGACTTTTAGAATCCCTTTGTCTAGTTCCAGAATAACGCTCTCAGAACTTTGATGGGAAGTTCACTTGCCTGGATATGAAGTTGGGAAAGGATGGTGTCTTCACTGTTTTAAGTCTCCCTCTTAGAAACTCAATGCAGCTCATCCTTTATTTAGCCTCCCAATAATGGCCCCTCTGTACACGTTCATCCGTTTGGTGTGCATCCTGCATCTTCGCTGATGTTTGTCGCCGTAATGTACAGTTTTGTGGTGTCATAAGTGGGATTCCTCTCTTTAAACTGAATTTGTCATGTTTGGTGTGGTGAGCTGATGTTTGTCATTTTCTTCGTGGTGTTCTTATTTAAGCAGGACAACTAGGGATTGACAGGGCAGACCACTGATGGAACTCACAGTGCCACGGGCATCGCTGACACAGATGCCAAGACAGACAGCGAGTCTTTGGAGGAGCCTCTCAAAACACTCCAAGACAGGAAGTGGGAGGGAGGGAGGGACCTCCCTCAAACCTGGAAGAGATCTCCTGGGCTGAGAGGGACGGGTTGGAAGGAGTGGAGGGTGGGTGGGGCCTGAGAGGCAAGACCTCAGCATAGTAATGGGTGAGGGTGGTCCTGGCAGGTGAGCCACACCAAGCCTCAGGCTGCCACACTGTGGTGTGGTCCCCTCAACTGGACACAACCCTGGGAAAGTAGACGTATTCTGCACCGACCAAGACATCAGGTTTTGGTAGCGTGTTAGCATGGGTCTGGAGAGAAAAATGGCTATAAAAAATAAAGTTACCTTGTTCACCTGAGGGGGTGTGTGTGTGCTCATATGGTCAAGTGTGTCAGCCAGATCCCTGAGTCAGTCAGCAGGGGGTTGTCATGAGGAACTCTGCTTGGAGGACTAGAGGGGATGCCCAGGTGGCAGGGCCGATGGGCTGGGCGCTGCCCCTTGCCCCTCCATAGCTTTTTTGTGTCGGTGGCATCTGGATATGTCTTCCTGGCAGAACTGAAATCATGAAACGCTCTAGGGGTCGGGAGGCTACAGAATGGAGTTTCTGAATTCCAGAGAAATGGGGTCCACAATGCAGAGATGATCTGCAGAGGGTGCCGGGGTGATCTGGGGCAGTCACACACCACACTGTGACCATCTCCTCCTAATTCTATTACCAACAGAGTCCTAAGATCTTCAAGGCATACAACCAGATAACCTACCAAGGAAGATAATTTGACTCTGCTCTCCCCAAGTTTTTGTTGCTTATTTATTTTTTAAAATATTTTAAAATTGGCCCTGGCTGGTTTGGCTCAGCGGTTAGAGCGTCGGCCTGCGGTCCTGAGAGACCCGGGTTCGGTTCCCGCTATGGGCGCGTACCTCGGTTGCAGTTTGTCCCCGGCCCTGGTCGGTTGTGCGGGTGGCAGCCACTCGATGTGTCCCTTTCACGTCAATGTTTCTCTCTCTCTCTCTATTCCTCTCTCTCCCTTCCACTCTACCTGAACAAAAAATGGAAAAATTTCCTCGGGTGAGGATAAAAACAAACAAACAAACAAAAATATCTTAAAATTGGTTTTAGACAGAGGAAAGGAGGGTGGGGGAACCATCCACTGGCTGCCTCCTGCACGCCCCCTACTGGGGATCATGCCCCAAACCCAGGCGTGTACCCTGACTGGGATTTGAACCAACAACCTTTTGGTGCACAGATGACGCCCAACAAACTGAGCCACACTGGCCAGGGCAGGAAGGCAATTTTGACTCTCCTTTTCCAGTATTTCTGTTGCTTATTTAATTTTTGTTTCTATTGTGTCCCTGGGACCTGCAACCACAGCAGAACAAAGAGAGTGACCGGGGCACGTCTGTGTTAATGGAAAATCTCCTCTTGTGCTTTGAATTGATGTTTAGTTTTGGATTTGGAAATTAGCTTTTATTCAGCTTAGACTCTTTATTCATATTTCAATTAAGCGTTTTTATTAGACATGGCAGATGAATTCCAAAGAGATCCCCTTCACCATCTATTGATAGGACCACATGCCCCGCGTGGAGTCAGTGGCTAGTACAGTGGGTTGTTGCTAGATGTCCCGATGGAAATAAACCCTAGTGGGTGTCAGTATAGTATTATGTGAAGTCACTCCCAGGTTCAGATCATCAATATTTGGTCAGGATATTTGCACCGTAGGGCATTCACATATTATTCCTGATGG